CCCACCCAGCCTCTTCCTTGCCCTCCTCCCCACTGGCCATGAATTTCCAGGGCAGGCCCGGGCAGAGCCATGGGCAGCCGGCGCCGCATGTTGGGGGGGTCATCCTATACGTCCGGTCGCCTTGTATGCCAGCAAATACTATCGCTCCCAACTGAGCAAATGGGAAGTTGGTATTAGCTGATTAATGATTACAGTTTGTTCTGCGGTTGTCAGGTTTGTTGTTGTTTTGTTGTTGGACCTTCTCTTGGTTTTCAGTGATACTTAACTTATCAAGCACAAGGTGTAGAGTAGATAATTTTAATTTCATTAAAACTTTTATAAATGATGCTTTTTAAATAAAATGTGTTCTTTAGTATAACTTGAACTGCTTTCACTGAATTAAAGCAACGTTCTTTCACTGCTCTGTATTTCCAGGCTCGATTTTATGCACCAACCACAATATTTATAGATGAAATAGACTCAATCTGTAGCCGCAGAGGTACTTCTGAGGAGCATGAAGCCAGTCGCAGAGTGAAAGCAGAATTACTCGTTCAGATGGATGGTAAACAAAAAGAAAACGTGGAAACTGCTTTGAACTCTGAAATCTATACATTTATGTGTTGTATTTCTGCTTTGCTGTCCTTTGAGGAAGCTCAATGACATTTTGGTCTCAATTGTAGACCGAAGATACGGTGATCCTTTAGATCACTGGTTCTTAACCTTGGGTTACTCAGGAGTTTTGGACTGCAATTCCCAGAAGCCTTCACCACCAGCTGTCCTGACTGGGGTTTCTGGGAGTTGCAGTTCAAAAGCATCCGAGTAACAAAGGTTAAGAACCACTGCTTTAGATCAGTGGTTCCCAACCTTGCATAACCAAAGTGTTCTGGACTGCAATTCCCAGAAGCCTTCACCACCAGCTGTGCTGGCCAGGGTTTCTGGCAGTCCAAGGATACATGGGTTACCCAAGGGAGGAAACCACTGCTCTAGGCAACCACTAATTCTTGTATATTATTTCAATTTATCTATTTGTGGTCCATCTGTATGTTTTAGTCTTCATAATTTGGGATTCCCCAAAAACCTTTTCACTGATTTCCACTGAACGAGAATGTGGCATGGCAAAGCAGAGTGTGGAATTCATAAATAGAAGGCTGGATAAGCAAAATGGGAGAAAGATGCCATGGCAGGTGAAGGAAGTTGAGTCTTTGGCATGTTATTCACTAACACATGCACACGCACACATACTCAGAATTTTCTCATGTGTTTTGTGTGCAGAATGGGTGACCAGTTGATATTTTTTAAAACTTGCAATTCTTAAAATTCCAAATAAACTGCAGGTTTTATACAGATCCAGTTTTCAGTTCCTCAATCTCAAGAGATGTTGTGGTGTTTTATTTTCTTGGATTCTGAACATGTATTTTTAAAAGTGCTAGAAAAACTCAAAACTACCAAGACATGAATCTTCATAAGACATAAGAAATTTATTTGTCATTGCGCTCACAAGTGGGTGCAACGAAATGAGGTGCTCTTCCCCAAGGTAAAACTGGACAACAATACAAAAAAAAGTTAAAATATACACAACTTTCACCATCCAAATATAGATACCCCGTTTTCTCTCAGCAATTAAAATTCCACCAAAAACCTATGGCCCCACATTTAAACTCAATACTGCACTTGGGTAAAAATTTCCCAATTTGTTTGTTCAAAACAGTCCTTTAACTGCTCCATTGCTCCCTCCGGCCAGCTTTTCACTGTCTTGACTACTGGCCCTGACTGTTTTCTCAGAGGAATATACTTCGGAGCTAAAAACAGGGACATATGGTCAGACTGGCCCAAGTGTGGCAATTGTAATATCCTGTATCCATTTGCAATATTCGTGTAGACCTTATCTAAGGTGTTCAGCCCCCTAGTAGCACACCTTACATGTCAGGTATGTCATTCAACAAAATGCAGCTGTCCAAGAAGCCAAAGGGCTTCTTCATATGTTATGCCTGTCCATAATAGTAAAATTGTGTGTGTGTGTGTGTGTGGATGGAGGGGTGTGTGGATGGGTGGGGGGGTGGGTAGGTCTTCCACACATGCTTGTGTAAGCAATCCAATATATTCCATGGATATTCTGTGTTCAGGTGATTCTGGTTTTTATTTATGGAACAATCAGCTAACTTTGTAAGCCTCCTTTTTCTGTGCAGCTTTGAATATTGGTGTTTGTATTTTATTGCGGCGGTTTATCCAAAAATTTCACATGATGAACAGCTGAGATATAAATGTAAAGTGTTCCCCATCTTGCAGAGCTTTTAGTAGTTCTATTCTTGCTTTTCGAAAAGTAATTAACAATGCAGTCTTCTATATATCTACTCACATATGACCTACACTGAAATAAATGGAACTTACTGCTAATTAGTGTGTGTAGGATCAGCACCTGCAGGTAACAAACAGGAAACAGCCTTGGTAGAGGCACTTTATTCCAAGAGTTAAGAGGACGCCTCTTGCCTTGAAATGTGATTTACAAAAATATTATATTGATTTCAGTGTTAGATTATTGCCAGAAGTGTAGGCTTGAGCATGTAACTTTTTGACCTTCAGTTTCCTCTTGCTGTCTGATTTAGGTGTTGGAGGTGCTTCTGAAAACGATGATCCCTCCAAAATGGTCATGGTGCTGGCTGCTACTAATTTTCCATGGGATATTGATGAAGCTTTGCGACGTCGGTTGGAGAAAAGAATTTATATTCCTTTACCATCCGGTATGAAGACTTCATGTCAGGAAAGCTCAAACTTTTTGTCCATCCTTGAATCCTAGAATTACCAAAACTTTTATGTAGCAATTAATGGTGTGGCATTTTGGAGGAAAGATAATTGAGGAGACGAACATTTCCAAGTGTGGGTTCAAAGCAGAATAAGGGAACTGAGTAAGGGAATTGTCAGTATATCCCATTGAGCCTACACAATAAGCCTTAAAGTACAGCTGAATTTGGGAATTTAAAGAGATTGCTGGATGGCACAGAGCAGATTAAGTGCATCTGTGTGGAGATCCTGTTTTTAGGGCTTCAGTGCTCTAATTAAAACAAATAATTACAATTTGTGGCTATGTATTTTATAATGAATATATAGTACAGTTATGTACTGAACTATATTATGGTGCAGGTATTAATTCTACTTTTTTCTCATGTGTTATATTTTAATTATTTCTGTGGACCATTTAGCCAAAGGTAGAGAGGAACTTTTGAAAATCAACCTACGAGAACTAGAGCTTGCTGATGATGTTGACCTTACCACTATAGCACAGAATATGGATGGGTATTCTGGAGCTGACATTACTAATGTGTGCAGGTATGTTAAAACATCAGTGCTAGTAAAATAATGCTTATTAAGGGCCTAGTCCTAAGGATATGTACATGGAAATTTCACTTAATTGGGACTATCTGGTTGCCTGCCTGGGAAACAATCTGTCAGACATTCCATAAGCTTCTTTCAGGGCAGAGTCTCCAGCCCTTTTCCTAAGCAGCTTCTGGAGACTGCCAAGCTGGTTAGCCCCAACGCTTGCAGGAAAGCAGCGATTGATGCCGAGCTACCTCCTGTTTTTTTATGCCACCATCTCTGTCTATTTCATTCTGCCTTCTCTACTGCTCGTTCAGTGCTCCTTTTCTTATTCTGCTTCCTGCTTAGTTTCATTTCTTCCGCTTTTCTTTTTGGCCATTAATTTTTAATTTGCCTGAGGGCACCCTTCTTTTTTTCCCATTTTTTCCCCTTTTCCATCATCTCCTTTTCATTCTTTGCCTTACCCGCTTCCCATTTTCTCATTTGTATATTCTTCTTTAGCCTTTGTCTGTGGCCACATTATAGCTTCTGCTTTTTTACTTTATACCTCTCTTCTTATTATCCTTATTCCAACGTCCTTGGTCTTGCTCACAGTAACTCTTCTTTTCCCTTCCTTGCCTACCTTATCTTCTCACTTTCCTTACACTGTTTTCTGCCTCCCCTCAATTATTGATTTCTTGAAAAAGGTTGGGGACCCCTGCTGTACTGTATTAAAAATATTAAAAGAATATATTTACTTCCCATGTTTTACCAGAACTGACCACTAGAGGAAGCCATAGATCCTGCTATGAATTCCTGTTCTCATCTGGATTCCCCCCCCCCCATTACTGCAGTGGTTTCCAAACATTTTCAACTCCCTTTCCTCCCTGATCATGGTTGCTCAGCCCCTTTGTCCACTGCAGGAGGTTGGTGGAGGAGTGTAGGACTGGCCCAGGCCACCTCTCGTGAGGGTGGTAAAAATGGTGGGGGGCTTTTAATATTATTTGTGGTTTTCAGGATCCGCAGGTGGGCTTGGAACCAGTCCTACTGTATTTGCAATCAAAACTGCATGTTGAATCTGTGAGACAAAAGTCTGCAGATTTCCTCCGTAGACCTCTCTGGCATACTGAGCCTCCTACTGGTACATATGAAGTCTTCAAACATATTTCAAATCATGTTTTTCCTGACAGGGCCCATTTGATCTTGTAAGCACTTCATTGTTTATTTCCACTTACATTTACTTAATACCAGTTATTTTCGATTTTGCATTCTTATTAAAGCCGTACTTTACATACCAACAGGGATGCTTCACTTATGGCTATGAGAAGGCGTATTGAAGGCTTGACGCCAGAAGAAATCAGAAATCTTTCCAGAGATGAAATGCATATGCCAACGACAATGGAAGATTTTGAAATGGCTTTAAAGAAAGTTTCAAAGTCAGTCTCTGCTGTGGACATTGAAAAATATGAGAAATGGATATTTGAATTTGGATCATGCTAAGCCTTCCTGTCTTGGGAAATCTGCCTCAAGTCTTCAAACAATTCCAGAAGTAATGAAAAAATAGTGCTCTAGGGCACTGAGTGCTATTTTTTAACTTTTTGTAATCACACGTAACATCAGTCCACTGAATAATAAAGTTAGTTTTTTTAACTGCAGCTCACTTACTTCATTTGGGACCAGTTGTTGTTTACGTATAGTTCCATTTTAAAATGTTGCTGAACAACTTGGGAATTTTTCTACAAGGTGTTTGCCAGATAAATTGAACAACTTCTTGCAGCCTTATTCACCTCATTTCATGTCAGATCAGGTTTATTTCTGTTTGGTTATATTTCAACATGCTCCTTGTCTGTTGTCATTTATTTCAGAGTTCTGTTTTTGTTTTTTGTTTTCAGTGGGAATCCAAACAGCTTCCTCTCAACTGTTACCTTTCCCAACTTTGAACCAGCGCTGTTTTGTCATGAGGCAAAATTATCTCCCCAGCCAACCAGAGTATTCATTGCAACTTTTGATCTTCCTTCCCATAGTGTTTGATAACTTACAAGTCGTTGTGTTGGTTTTATGCAGTTGATAGGACAAATCATTTTTAACATTGGTCCACAGTTTAGGAATAAATAATGCAGGGAAGTAGTCAGTTTCAGAAATTAGTAAGCTTGTTCTTTGCTTTTGTTTGCCCAGTTTACTTCATGACAGGAAGAAATGTAGTTGTCTCATACTTCTAAGTAAGTACACAAGCAATAATGAGTTACAGAAGGATCCACACCACTGTGTTCTGCTGATGTAGGGTGATTGGCCCTGGAATGAACCAGAAGGGTGATGACTCAGACTTTAATTCTGAGCGGTGTCACTCCGAATCCAACCCATTTGACCTATGCAAAGAGCAATGTAGCATCACTAGCAAACTAAAAATGGTCTTTTTTCATAAAATTTGCTCTGGATATTTTGTCAAGCAGCAGTGCAATTGTGGTATTGCATATACACAATGTTTTGTGTTCTCAAGTTTCCTACAAAATGAGCAGCGTGGTATTTAACAAGTGGTATGTCTGTATAAAAAACTGGCACATGTTCTTTCCAGAGGAAGGGCAGAGGCCTCATTCCCACCATGAACATACCACATGCTGAACTCTGCTTAGGTGCTTACCTTGAGAACTGAGGCAGGTGTGAAGGAATGTGCTTTTTGTTTTTTACACCTTCACAAGAACGTTCCTCCTAGGATGTTATGTTGATGGTTCCAGGGAAAGCTTGTTTGGTCTTCCCTCACATACTGTTTGATAACTTAGAAGTCATCTTCATGCCATTTTTGGCCCTAAAAAGATTTACAGAGGCCACTTTTATAGTACTGTAGATCTTTGGATTTCCCTCTGCTACAGTGTTTTATAATTTGTAGTGTTTACTGAATGATATTAAAGAATCTACAAATTTCTTAACTGCCTGGGGTGCAGCAATCCTGAATGGTGACCTGGAACAGAGATGGGGAACATATGGTTTTGGTGGAATAAAGTTCTTATCATCCCCATGTCATTGCTTTGCTGCCTACAGGTGATGGGAGTTGGCTTCAATAATATCCAGAGGGCCCATACATTCCGCACCCTGGCCTAAAAATACTGTAAAATAAATTGCCCAGTGTAGCATAGCTACTTAAACCAGTTGCTGGATCTTGTCATCCTCATCTGTATTCAGAAAGGAACTGACATTTCTCTCAACTGGAATGGATTTATTATAAAGTTGTGTTCGTACAGGTTTGTAAAACTGCTCTTTTAGTAAACGGGCACTTTAAAAAGACAGTTTGTGCTCTTGGGTGAGAGACGTTTGTATTCTACTGCAACTTCAAGAAGCACAGTTTTACCAACAGAACAATATAATGGAGAGGCCTTATTTTAAACGACTGAATAAAGTGCTTGTAATGTCAGATTACCTTGGGGGAAGGGAAGCATTGCACTATTCATTTGTTTTATAGAACAGTATGAGAAAACTCTCTTGCCGTCTCCCACAAGACATGCTTAAACATTATAGGCCTAAACTAGCTTCCTTCTTAGTGGTGTGTACAACCTTGTTCATACTTTTACTCAGTTGCTAGGACCAAATAACTTCTTTTCTATTGCACTGTGGAACTTCAGGCTATAATATTAATCATGCTGTCCTGGAATCATTTTACTCGAGCCTCTCTGGATATTTCCAATAGAGGTTATTTGAATTAACATGGCAGGTTCACACATCCAGGGAAGGTAAGATTATTAACAGTATAAGGCATTGTGTGATTACTTCACAGAAGTTAGAACTTAACTGAATCCTTAAGTGAGGAAACTACTACTTTTTTTTTCATTTGTCAAGAATGTATTAGGATGGTTGAAATGAAGAGAAACATGAATTCCTTTGGGCTCCAACCTTGAGTGTCCTTTAAACATTGATAGTTTGTAGACTTAATATAAAAAAAGTACACAATATATTAAGAATCAAGTGCCAGATATCAGGTTAACAAACTCATAAAATTATGACCAACTTCTTTTTAAATACTTTTCTCTTCTATATTGTCTGTCTTCTCTGGAATATCAGGAAGTAAACTAATTGCAACCACAGGTATGACATTGGCATCAAGCTGAAGGACCGCCCTGAAAAAGACAAGCTTTTATTAATGTGAGGACTCAGATAGGTAAGATGTATATCATCAATTGTCATGTTTAGTTTAACAGTGCATCAGCTTCACAATTGTAAAAGGAATCAGAAAATTAGCTTTAATATAGAGCTAAAGCAGGGATATAAAGGGACATGGTGGCGTTGCAGGTTAAACTGCAGAAGCCTCTGTGCTATAAGGTCTGTAGATCTTCAGCTATAAGATCAAATCCATGTGATGGAGTGAGCTTGTCCCAGCTCCCGCCAACCTAGCGGTTCGAAAGCCTGCAAATGCGAGTAGATAAATAGGGACCACCTCGGTGGGAAGGTAACAGCGTTCCGTGTCTCAGTTGCACTGGCCATGTGACCACAGAAGATTGTCTTCTGACAAACGCTGGCTCTATGGCTTGGAAACGGGGATGAGCACAGCCCCTTAGAGTCAAACACGACTGGACAAAAATTGTCAAGGGGAACCTTTACCTAAAGCCGGGGTAAGCAGCTTTTGACCCTGCCCTGCCCTACCATTTGGAAAAGAAAAGGAGGAAAGCTCCAGAGGCATTGACAAGGTAATTTATTTAAAGCTCAATGCCTTTTACACAGATGTTTGTCCTCAGGGGCACTATAAGCAGCTGCTTTTACCCATATCTTAGTGGTCACCTTGTGGCAACCATTGTATCAGGCTGCAGATCCAGGTAGGAGAAGAAAACAAAGCTGCACTGTATTGTCATTTCATCCTAGAAATAATGCCTTCCTAGTAACAATAATCACATCAACCTACAAAGCAAGACGAAAGAAGAGCTGCTCCTTTGTTGCAACACCAGCAGCCTTTTGCTCTCCCGGAGGCAGCCAATCCACCAAGCTGCTGCCTGAACTGTTTCTATCCTAATTGGTCTCATAAAAGCTGTCACTCAGAGTACTGGTGCCTGTGCTGTTTTCCCTCTCCTTCCCAATCCTTGTTTTGCCATGACTTGCAGAGTGTGTGTGAGGGCTTTGGAAAGCTGCACTGATAGACTGAAGAGGAGGGTAACAATATTTGAAATGCAATTTAAAACTCTAGTGCAAATATTGTACAAACTTAGCTCACAAAGTGTAAGAGAAAAAAGGTAGAATTTGGAATGGGAGATTCAAATTAAGGTCTCAATAAAACCATTAAATAAGAATACAAACCTTAAAAAACATAGGAAGGTTAACTATAAAATTCAAGAACCTATCTACTATATTACATTAGCAGAAATATATTTAATTCTGGTATCAAAGGAAGGAAGCCAGGATAACCCTTCTCTGTAGATAAGTATATGTGCACATCACCAATTATTAAAGGGTAAATCCAATAATTAGTTCCTAAAGTAGTCTCACTTGAATAAACAAGATATTTTAAATCAACACTTAATGTGAATCCCACTGCTTATTTAAGGCAGTGGTTCTTAACCTTTGTTACTCAGATGCTTTTGAACTGCAGCTCCCAGAAACCCCAGTCAGCACAGCTTGTGGTGAAGGCCTCTGGGAGTTGCAGTCCAAAACTCCTGAGTAACCCAAGGTTAAGAACTAGTGATTTAAGGCACTGGTTCTTAACCTTGGGTTACTCAGGAGTTTTGGACTGCAACTCCCAGAAGCCTTCACCACCAATTGTGCTGGCTGGGGGTTCTGGGAGGTGCAGTTCAAAAACATCCAAGTAACAAAGGTTAAGAACCACTGATTTAAGGCAGTGCTTCCCAACCTTGGTTAATGCAGGTGTTCTTGGACTGCAACTCCCAGAAACCTCAACCAGCACAGCTGGTGGTGAAAGTGTGTGGAAATTGCAGTCCAACAACTGGGTTACCTAAGGCTGGAAACCACTGATTTAGAGTATCTCAAGGTAGAAGAAAACACTAGATAGATAGATAGATAGATAGATAGATAGATAGATAGATAGATAGATAGATAGATAGATAGATAGATAGATAGATAGATAGATAGATAGATAGATAGATATTGCTTATTATCCATCTTTCTTCTGAGGCATCATAATAATGCCTCTCGTTGAATCCCATTATATCTTCGCAACAATCTTTTAGGTAGGTCAGGCTAACACCATGTGTTTGGACCAATTTCATCTAGTCAGCTACATGGCTGGGTGAGGTGTGAATCCAGATCTTCTGAGTCCAGCACTCTGGACAGGCCACAATCCTCGCACTCTACATGCCAGTTTATGGGGAGCAGTAGATAATTATTTTCACGTCCTCTGGAACTATCCAGTTGTACCTATCACTAGTGTGCAGACTAACAGTTCAAGATCTCCAGTGTGCATTCTTTTAAAAAAGTATGTGGCAAGCCTGTTGTGTCCCTGCGCTGAGTTCCCACCTGCCCTGCAGGGCTGAGGGATCTTCTTGAACATTGGGGGACGGTGCAGTCAGGGGTGGGAGGGAGGGAAGTGCTCAGCAAATATTGTGTTCCTTTGATTTTTGGAGTAAAATTCTGCTATGTGAATGCCCGCTCTGGCTAAAAAGAAGTTGGGCCCAATTCATTATATGTAAGTTCTCTTATAAACTGTGTTATTAAGGGACATTTATTAGATCACTTATTTATTAGATTTTTATCCCACCTTTCTCTCCTAGTGGGGATTCAAGGTGGCATACCAAAAAAATTAAATCAACAAATCAGTTAAAACAAACTAATTATTTTTAAAAACTATAATATATCCATATTTAAAACATTATTTTAAAACTACAGTATGCATTTTAAAAGATCTTCCCATTGCCTCTTGGCTCCCTAAAAGCCTCTCCAAAGAGATATATTTTCACCTGCCAGTGGAAGGGAAGGGGAGGAGTTCCGTAATGTGGAAGCAGCCACAGAAAGAAAGAAAAAACCCTCTCTTTGGCCCTTACCAGAGTCTTGGGAGAGTGGTGGGGCCGAGAGAAGCACTCCCTGAGGATGTGAATACATGTTGGGCTCCTCTGGGAAGATACAGTGGTGCCTCGCATTACGATGTTAATTCGTTCCAGCGAAATAGCTGTAGAACGAAAACATAAAGCAAAATTAAAAAGCCCATAGAAACACCTTAAAACCTGTTTAATGCGTTCCGATGGGCTTAAAACTCACCATCCAGCGAAGATCCTGCATAGGGCGGCCATTTTCACTGCCTGTCTTGCGAGGAATCCGTCCCTAAACACAGCGGGGAGCCATTTTATTTACCCAGCGGCCATTTTGAAACCGCCGATCAGCTGTTGGAAAATCGTCATTTTGCGAAGAATCAGTTCCTGAAGCAGGGAACCGATCATCGCAAAGCGAAATTCCCCCATAGGAAAAATCGTTTTGCGATCGCAAAAAGTTCATCGTAATGCAATTTCATTGCTAAACGAAGCGATCGTAATGCGAGGCACCACTGTGCGATCTTTTAGATAGCCTGGACCTGAGCCTTAAAGTGCTTTAAAGGTCATGACCAGCACTTTGAACAAGGACCTGAAACAAATTGGCAGCCAATGAAGCTATGGGTGGGTGAGGGTAGCAACTAGTCAACAGTCTCACTGAAGCATTTTGTGCAGGTTTATGCTTCCGAAGAGGCAGTCTCACACAGTGTGTGTTGCAGTAATCCCAAGGGGATTTATTTATGTTTCGGTTTCTTTAAATGGTAATAATTTGACTGTTCTTTTCTATTACTTATTTGACAAATTATCAGAATGTTGTAAGTTTTTTTTATTCATAAATTCTTTCAGTTAGGCTTATACAAATCAGTTCATTTTGCATTCACAGAAATTTGAAGTGCACTAGGGTTAAATAACTCTTAAATCTTTGCCTGGGCACCTGGAAGTTTCCTTCCTTCCTTCCTTTCTCTGCAATTGCTACCTTCCTGCTTTTCTTTCCTGGATTACTACCCTGGCTATTCTTTTCTTCTAAGTCAGAGGAACCATGAAAATATAATAACACAAAGACCCACAATAGAGAAAAATGAGTTTAAAAAATTGAAGTATGTGACATTCAAATCCTCCTCCTCCTTAATCTCAGTAACCAGTAGAAATGGGCTGTCTTTTGTCACTCGCATAGCAAGGTATTTTATTTGGCAATGACCTAAATGTAAGTAATACTGCAGACATTATTTTGCTTTTAGAGGACGAAATGTAAGTGGGGGGGAGATCCTTACCTGGGTTCACATGAAGGGCAAAACACTTTTAAGACTTTTAGTATTAAAGCTGCTCCTATAACTCCAACCACAATGACCTCCATGAAGTTAAAGAACACGGGGAAAGACTGGAGCCAGAATCTGCAGAGCTCTTTCCTTAGGTCTTCCACCCACTGGCACATCACCTGCAAGTGTAATCAACCCTGCTGCTGAAAGACAACACCTTCGGCTTGCAAGTACAAGAGACTGCCCTAAGATAGGTCAATTTAGCCCATGGACCCTTAGCTCAAGTGAACCAGTCTGAATAGCTTAGAGATCTCCATCACAGTAGATTTACTGATAATTACCATTCATCTCAACAAGAAACTGGTTCAATACATTCCGCATTAAGCATTTTAAAGTCCCAGTCAGAACATAAGAAAAGCCAACAAGCCTGCCCAGCAGTCCCTCTAGTTACTTCTACAAAATCTGCAAGTAAGGCATAACGGCCAATAGCCCTCCCACTTAACGCCCTCACTAATTATAAGCCATAAGTTTCAGATAATCAACTCATTCTTATTCCCATTTCACTAGGTTTTTGCACCCAGTATCCTGTTCAATATTTATATGAGTGGAACTCCAATTGCTGTGGCTTAAAATATGACACTGATCCAACAAGGTGCCAGTCACGTGTCTGCTGTGAGCAAGTGGCACATCATCAGACTGCTGAGGCAGTTTCCATAGTTGGGGCTACACATGGGTGTAAATATTGAACAAGAGGGCATCTGTGATAGGGCTGGGGCCTGTTCTGCAGGGGCCCACCATAAACGTCAACCCTGCAAAACGTTTTTTCAGTATTTTTTAACTAGAGGTTTAAGTTTCCTACTAAAATAAAGCTGTACATCTTACTTTAGGGGAAAATCAACTAGCAATTCCCCTTTAGTTGACCTCTTTTGGGGAGATGGAGTTGAGGGTGGGCAGAGATCCAAGGAAGTCAGGGGCTGCAAAAAAAAATGGGAGGATAGGATGTGACCAGTGGTCTTCAGGCTGCACACTGCCTATCATGACATAGACATGATACTGAGCTAGGTGGGCCACTGGCCTGACTTGGTACAAGGCACTGAGCTATATCCCAGAAGTTCTCTGCCTTCCTATTCTGATGGATTTCCGCCAACAATGGGCCACTGGCCTAACTTGGTACAAGGCACTAATCCTTCCTATTCTGATGGATTTCCGCCAACAGCCTGAGTGATGGTGACAGGGAACATACCTTGTAAGAAGATGGAGGCTCCGTTCTGAGAGGAGTCTCTGGCAATTTGCCAGGCATTGTCTCTTCATCTACTGTTGTCTCTGCTTGTCTAAGAAGGTAGTGACTGGTTGTTTGTAGTGGACTTTCAATATCTATGTGGACAAAGTTAAAAAGAACAGGTTGGTTGTTTTTACATTTCATGTCTGTAAATGTGATGGAAAAGCATCAGGCTGGGGACAAAATATAAAGCAATGCTACATTTGAAGGTACTGCCAAATGCCTATTTGGTTTCATTGTAAAGAAAAACAAAAAGCAAGCTATGGCTCAATTAAACTGCCTTAGGAACTCCTCTCTACCCACACACTTTTCCCCTGAGGACCGAAATACTTTTTTTGACAGGAGTTTCTCGATCACTTAGCATGCAGATTTATTATTTGCTGCTTTATTTCCTGCTTCTATCTTACTCGATTGTTTTAAATAAAGCTTTGAAAAATAATTAATTAGAATTTTCTCTTTGTGATATATCAATTCAAGGAAGGTGTAAAATGAAAGGGCAAAAAAAGCATGAATGAATAGTAGTAGCCTCTATAACGGAAAATAAAGGCAATGGAGTTAAGTATGATGGCATACCTTTTCCTGCAACATTCGGAAGTGTGAATAAGACATCATTATCTCTGGGGATGGAATACAGCATGCTCTCCTTCAGAGGAACAGTGTAATTTGTATGCCTAAGTACTTGTATATCCTTTACTAATATGTCTATTTCAGTTACTTCATCTTGCTGAACCTGCAAAAGGAAGCGTAACAATGTCAGTACTCTTCTCAGAGAAAAAGTAAAGGAGGCTTTTGCTGAAGTCATGAAAACAAAGAAGAGAGCAGAATTTCAAGATAAAAATTGCTTGGATTTAATAATGATTCTGTTTACGCTAACAATTTTCTGGCCTCTCTGTCTGGTCACTAAGGAAGTGTGTGGCGACCTCATGTTCTGAGGGGAAAATGCTAGCCCCCCCCCCGCCCTCCCGGTCATCCTGCTAAACAGAGAAACATGACTTTCTGAAGAGGGGCAGATTGGATTGTGTCATGTGGATTCTGCCGCAAGTAAAGAGGCCACTGAGATGGAGTAGCCTTTCTGACTTCAGTCGTTTCCATGTTCAATGTGATGATGGAGGAAGGTGGGGCAAGAGCCGTCTCCTGAACACATACATGCACCTCCTCCCAGGTGAATATGGCTTAAGAGAAGTGATTGAGGTGAAGGAAAAGAAGTACTTCTTGCTTTTCTCTAAAATGAAGTCACTCTTCTCCCTCAACTTTTTTTCATTAGAATACTGCTAGAGAAAGTGACCTGTTTCTCTTCATAATAATTAGGTGAAAGAATTTCATTCTGTGAGGAACAGCTCAGAGAACTATAGAAAGCTGAGTTCTGCACCAAAACTTAATTTCTGTGACATTTTCCATGCAAGTAGCAGCATTTACGCAGTCTTTTCCCCCCAGTCCCAGAAGCCCAGTTATGCAACCAATTTCACAACCAGTATGAGACCTGGCACATGAAAGGGAGTCTGCCAGGGTATGTATTGGGCACTTATCTGATTGCCCTTTGGTGACAACATAAACAAACAGGATTCTGGCCTATATTTACATAGTATGATTTCTTTGTCCTTCACTTTAAACACAACACTTTCTCTCATCTGCCATTCTGCTGTTTAGTTGTTATGTGATTTGCTACTTTATGATGCTGTTTATAAAAACCAATGGGATTAAGATAAAAGAAGTGGAATGTGACGCATGCTGTTGGGAACAGTATCGGAGCAAGATCATTAAATAAATTCAATAAAGAATGCCTCTTTCTTTTAGCTTCAGCAATTGTCCTGAGGATAGTGAATGTCTCCTTCTAAGAAAAGGAAGAAAGGATGTGAGCAGAAGAATATGGAATGCTACAGAATAGTGCTCACTGAGTAATGTAGCAAAACTCAGAGTATAATAGTGAATTCCATGATTTTGTTTCCTATTCTTTTGTTGCAAGTCCTTCAGAACAGACTTACTTTTCCAAAATTAAAATTACAACTTTTGAAATGGCCGGGGGGGGGGAGGATAATTGATACAAGCTTCTCATTAGGTAAACTGCCACTTTTTGAAAGTACTGTGTAAAATATGAATGCCAAAAATAACACACAATTACTGCATGGCTGTTCAGTGGCATTAGACAGCTGGATGTGGCAAGCTCTACCATACTGGGGTGCAGAATGTTTTTTAAACAAGTCACCTGACTATCAAAAATATTTGGCAGGGTAAGGACTTCTGTCACTAAATTGTACAATTCTTTCAAAGTGCCGTTAGTCATTGTTGGTGCCAACCAGATAAGTGAAAGGTCTGTTTTGACAATTCCTTGATTAAGACAACCACTTTCCATTGTACTGGAGTAGATTTCACAATTTTTTTAAAGAATCAGATTATAGCTGAAAATAGGTATGTGGCAGAAACTCTGGAAATCTACCTCTAACAGTGAGTGTAAATGGATGAAACCCTCTGTGACTTTGTTATGCATGCGGAAAGTAAACAGAAAAGTATTCAGTCACTCCTAGCCAGCGATTAATGAGTTGCTGCTGGGATTATTGAGGGGTGCACATCCACTAGCTTGGCACACACTCTAGAATCCCTGGAGGGACTCAGTAATTGCTAGCAAGAATTACTGACTGTTGTATCATATGCCTTCCACACATTCAGAAAACGACATGATTTCAGCCAATGTCTTGTGTTCCACACTGGTTGTAATTCAACTGAAAAGTTGCACCAGCATAAATTTCTGATGCAACTGCCATAAGTGAAGAAATCAGTGTAGACAATTGCTGTTATGTGCCAAGTTATATACCTGGTATGCTACAGCAAATGCCTACACTGATATATTTACTTGCAGCTAAGATTTATAGCAATGCATTTGCACCAGAAGACATAACTAACAGGATTCTGGCCACTGAGTAAGTTTCTTCTGAAGAGCATCTAAGACAATGAGGCCTTTTTAATTATATATATTTAATTATATATAGGGAGAGAAATAAAGGAAATTGCAGGTGTAACTTGCATAATTTATGAGAAGTTTATTACTTATTTCTCATGAATATTACATTATAATTCCAGCAGAAGTTATATTTGTTTTACATTCTGTTCTGCAGCTGATAAATACCCTGTTTGTTTGTTCATTTAAATTATATGCCAGGCTTCCTCAGGAGTCTCAGGGGACGGCATCATCAACACAGAATCAGAACAGACCCATTCAATCAATAAGATTTACAAAAGGATCTACCTACTATTCTACTATACTGGGCCGACTCTATTTGGGACCGTTATCTGGATTTAAACAGTTAACATTAACTGGTTTCTCCAATCCATTACAGCAGTAACAATAATTTTAAAAGTCATAATTTAAATTATTTAAAAAGAACAACAATGTGAACAGATTGAGTAATGTTTGATGGCTCATATGATTTTAATTAGCTGTTCTGGAAAGCTAATGGGGGCTGCCCCTTTCCAATCATCTTAATTGATTTTGTTAAAATTAAAGCTAGCATAGCAATAATGCATTATTAATTATTAATGCAACAAATGTATGGCCAAAACAAAGTTTAATGGATTACTTTTGGGATTAACATCAATAAATTAGTGCTGATCCAGTAGCTCATCTCAGATCCCAAACTTAAGTAGAAATTAATTGATGTGTGAATTACACATAAACTGAGATGTGGCAGGTCTACAAACTAATGAAAAGAAAACAGAGATCTGCCTGGCACCCTCGCTGGGTGTTTTTAAGAGCCATTTAAAGACTTGGCTCTTTAGGCAGGCCTTCCCTTCTGTCAATTCTTGAAATCTGTCTTCTTGTTTTATCATTCCCCATCTTGAACACACCATATTATTGATTTAATTGTTTAATGATTATGATATTTTATTATATTTTATGATTTTTTTCATAATTGTAAGCCCCCCGGAGTAGACGCTGTCTAGGGGGATGGGGTAAAAACCAACCAACCAACCAAACAAACAAACAAACAAACAAACAAACAAACAAACAAACAAACAAAAAAACAAATGAGATATCACAAAGGAACCGCCCCTTTTCTGGATATGACATAAATCCAATGTCAATCTGCTAAAGTGATGGGAGTTTCTTCTCCTTCTCTTGGAAACTGTCCACCAAACAATCTGCTCTAGAGGGTCTGTCTCCCCAGCCAACAGATTTACTAATAGACCAGCAAACACAGTGATCAAAGGAAGCATGAGTTACCTGTTTTCCATCAATTTCTGTCACTTCCTCCTGAACAACAATTAACTGCAAATTGGAGCTGGATGCCATTGGCCATTTGTGGACCATAATGCGAACACTTACAATTCCTAATCGCTGTTGATCTGATCTGCCAGAATCACCATTCACCACTGTCAAAGAATAAATTTGTATAAGATAGTAGTTGTGCAAAGAGACATAATCCTTAGAAGTTAAGTTACACATAAAATAGTGACAGATGCATGGCAAATTGGAACTGGTTTTCAGAAGCTTTACGGAACTGAAACAGGAATACCTTCTGTTTGTATATCATGGGATGCTATCTAGTACCGCACCATGGAATGCTTCCTTCCCCCCCCCAACCGCCAAATTCTATGCTAAAGGGCCCTTAATTTCTGTATCAGATTAGAGAGAGGCACACTGGACTGGAAAGGGAAGGGCGAATTCTGCTCCCCATTTTGCCACTGAAAGCTATTCTGCCAAAAGGTGGGACAAACTGGATACAATCTCTTCTCCTTGTAAAGAACACAGAGAAGCTCCCACAGCCCCTCCATCATCCTGAAAGGTGAGACAACAGTTGAGTTTAGCCAGCACTGCACATTGATTCTCTCAGTCAAGTTGCCATGAACAGAACTCTGACGGGAATCTTGGCAGTCACCAGAAGGGTTAACAAGATATAAGAAACCCTGAAGTACGGTAGCAGAGACCACAAGAAAAGGCAGAGATAACAGGTATAGGCGAAGAAGCACCCAAGAACACTATTCATTAGGTAACTATCAGGAGACAGGTATCTAGTTGTCTCATGTGTTCCCAGAGGCATCTGGTAGGACCACTGTGAGATACAGGAAGCTGGACCCTTAGCCTGATCCAGCAGGGCTTTTCTTATGTTCTTATGTTCTTAACTTTCTCAGGTATATGTATCCTACGGGCATTTCTTTCACTTTGGCAGCTCCGCGCTGCTATTATCAAAATGGACACTGAAAAAAGGACAGAAGAAACTGGTTTCTTACTTCTCTCAATCTCCTGTTATAAACACTTACATTTATTTTGGTAGCAGAACATGTTATCTATGCTGTGGAGTAACAATTGCCATGGGCATCTCTCCCCATGGCATGGGAACAGCATCCATGAGCAACACTCAGCCCTCATCAGTTTTCAGAGTGGCCAGATAGGATGGGGATTAACATTCATAGGGACTCTCTTCTGCTTGACCTCTTCCTTCCCCCCATCTAATAAGCCATTGTCCTCAACCTTGGGTCCTTCAAATGATTCTGGCTTCATAGTCCAAAACCCTCAACTACTGTGGACAAGAACAAGAGATGCCAGGAGTCAGTCTTAAAGCTCAGTCTACAGGATGAGAACTACCATAAGGCATGGACAAGAGATGCTATGGAGTCAGTCTTAAAGCTCTACAGGATGAGAACTACCATAAGGCATGTTGGATACCAGCGTACAGACATACCACTTTCTACATATTGGTAATTACAGCATCAACTCTATTAAGATCTCAGAATTCTTGTCTTGCAAAAAGAACTGAACTAAAAGAAGGGAAGGCAATTAGAACTTACATTAAATCAAACCACTTGGCTGCATGAATATATGTATAGTTCATTCCTAAACAGGTTTGCTCAGATACAAGAACTTATGCCCTTTAGAATGCTTTAAGATTAGATCTATACTAACATGAGGAGGCATAGAAGCCATTTGCATCAAGGCATGATTTCCTGCTGCCTTGTTTCCTTAAAGGACACCATGTGTATGATGTTTCAAAAAGCCAACAATGCTGGCTTTCAAAAGCCAAATTTAAAAATACATTAGCATGTCCTTAGTATACCAGCTGATCACACAGAGCAAATTATCTCAGAGGCTAACCTTGAGACCAAACCATAGGGAGCACATAACGAAACCATTCTGTGTAGCATTAAATGGCATGTAATTGCTCTGGCTTCATTAATTATGTAAAATGTTGCCCGTACACCCAAGTTGGGTATATAATTCTGTCCGGCTTCATTAATTATGTACAGTAAAATGTTGCCTGTACACCCAAGTTGGGTATATAATTCTGTCCAAGACAAAGCAGGAGAGAGGAAAGTAAACGTTTCCTGCTTTAGAGTAGCTGCAATGACTGGATAATGTGGTTGTTGTGGGTTTTTCAGGCTCTTTGGCCATGTTCTGAAGGTTGTTCTTCCTAACGTTTCACCAGTCTCTGTGGCCGGCATCTTCTGCTGTCCTCTGAAGATGCCGGCCACAGAGACTGATGAAACATTAGGAAGAACAACCTTCAGAACACAGCCAAAGAGCCCAAAAAACCCACAACAACCATCAGGTCCCGGCTGTGAAAGCCTTCGAGAATATACTGAATAATACTTCAACCATTTTAAGAAAACTCCCAGCCACAGATACAATTTAAACAAAGAAAGCCACAGGGAAAAATAGATGTGTTTTGCAAAGATTATCTGAAATGACTTTCACAAGATTGTATTATTATTTCTCCTACATCAACTGACCTGGACATGTGCCAGCTTAAGAGAGGAGACAGACAGGACTTATCAGGGTGGAGCACATCCTTTCATTTTTACTACTTCGTCTCTTGCACAAATTCCTTGCCTTCTACAAATAAATTAACAGAACAGGAACTTTGCTAAGGACTTTCATATGGTCAAGATCTGAAACTCCCTTTGTATTTCTTATGGCCAAAATATGTGAGTGCTGTGAATAAGAACCAGAAAGGGCATCCATTTTTGTCTTTCATCAGTTTTTAACGTATTATCCTAACCTAGGAAGCTTTTTAACTCTACAGATATAGAGAACATAAAGGCACTAATTTATTTTAATATTTTCTGTGAGTTGTGAAATGCATGGAAGCATTCAGAGCAGTATGGGATTACGCAATACTCACATATTAAAGTCTGACATTTTATCCGGGCAACCCCACTTTTCAGTGGGAAGTCATTTACGTACACCTGCCCATTAACATAGGTGATATTGAGGACAACCTAAAAAAACAGTCCAAATATATGAATGTTAAATTTACATATTTTAAAATAGAAGGACAAGTGTAAAACTTTCTTTAATTTATATAATCATGATAGCAGTGATCAAAATTCAAACAACTATGTAAGAAATTAAACATGAGCTGCATTTTTAATACTCCTGCATTATAAAGGATAGATAACATCATTTTTTAAAAGTCAGAAACTTAGAATCTAATCAAATCAAAAGTTGCAAGCCCTGTAGAACTGAAATTGGCTCTGATAGCAAATACATTGGAATGCCGGGGGTCACGTAGGCCTTATCAAGTTTCTAGGAGTTGAAGGCAGGTAAAGTTTGCTACATTTGGTATGAAAGGTCTATCTCTATACATGTGTTTTATATGTATATGTTACCATATGTTGCATTCTCTTCACTAATTTTCCTTATTCAATATGTGCTTGCTATCACTATCTAAATTCTCTGAAATTATAATGGTTATGGATGGTGGCCTTAAAAACATACCTGTGAAATGTTAACATCTCCAGTATGAAAAAAGTTAACATGCAGCAAAAGGAATATTAACAGTACAGTATATGGGAAATGGTGCAGTCTAGTGGATGAAACACTAGAAATGAACTTGAAAAAACCTAGGCACAGACTATTAAATCAGTGAGTAGCCACTATTTTCTAGTTTCAGCTGATATTTGTTAAATGGGAGCAGTCTTTTCCTTTACCCCTGCCCCCAGGAGCATCAGCCAGACTTTATACACAGCCCTCCAGTGCCTGTATCAGCTATTGCCCCTGAAAGCCAAGTCCTGAGAACTGTTAATAATACCTCTTCAAAGCAAAAGCTGACAGACGTATATCCCTAAACTACTACAGACTCACCTTAGCTGCCACAGCATTTAAGAAGAGCAGAAAAAGATGCCATTAATTGTATGTCAATCAATTGTATCTGGTATTCTAGATCTAACTCTGTGAAGCCAATATGAGGCACAAAATACATCTAATTGTATTATTATGAATTACTAACAAGAAGTATTGTTGAAAGGTGGTATATGTATATGTTCAATTATAAATACCTGGCAGGACTGTGGGAAAACATAGTGTTCCATTTGGAGCATAAAGGCAATCATTTGAACATTTCCCCACTCTCACAGGCTCTCTCTTGTATGACCAGTCGTGTAAGACCAGCATGCAAATGGCAGCCTTATGGAGCAGAAGGAACCCTTCCATGACTGCCCTTCTGGAATCAATTTCACGCAACAGGACACTAGTCTACAAAATAGGTCAGCCTTGTCAGCAAGTATACAAAAAGTTACCTTATAGAATTTATAGACACACACAAGACAATGTGAGAAATGGCAAATTCTTTGCTCAAAGCAACGGCTGATTAAAGTACTTCCTGCAAGTAATTTAGTAAATGTACTTGTTTACTGCAATGATTAATGAGAACCTAGATGCATATTCAGTTTACAATGATGGATCAAAAGCAAGAACCCAAAAAAGATTGCTCAAACACAAAATACAGGAAATCTGACGTACCTGTCCCTCTTGACTGTCCCCGTTGTTTCCCAACATACTAACTTTAATCTTGACACTTTCCTGAAGGAATATAAGGAGAGGAAGGTGAAAGAAACGTATTATGAATTCCTAAATATAAAATCTCTGAAAACACTAGGTAGTTGACTCTATTTCTTGCTTGAGAAAGGGAAATTTTGTGCTTTTGTATATGACATAATATATCAAGTATTGCTTACCCAGTGTTCTCTGTGTACAGGTAAAAGGAAAAGACAGCTAACAAGATGAAAAAATCACCATACTAATTAGAGACAACAATTCCAGGGGCAATGGGAACCAGATACAGGCTATCTAACTATCTGTTTGTGTGCCAGGAAATTTCCAGTTTTAATACATACTGTTCTTATCCATTATCTGATTGTAGAGTTTGTAGCTAAATGCATTATCTGATGGATTTAAGGCTCCGTTGTATATTCTGCCATGTTTCCCCGAAAATGACAGAGTCTTATATTAATTTTTGCTCCGAAAACGCATTGGGGCTTATTTTCAGGGGATGCTTTATTTTTTGATGTACAATCTACGTTTATTCAAATACTGTACAGTCATGTCATCATCTTCTGGTTGCTGCACAATGGTGGAGGGTGGGCTTTCACTTAACTAGGTCTTATTTTTAGGGTAGGGCTTATATTACGAGCATCCTGAAAAATCATACTAGAGCTTATTTTCAGGTTAGGTCTTATTTTCAGGGAAACAGGGTAGTATGCCAAGTCCTGAGAACTGTTAATAATACCTCTTCAAAGCAAAAGCTGACAGACGTATATCCCTAAACTACTACAGACTCACCTTAGCTGCCACAGCATTTAAGAAGAGCAGAAAAAGATGCCATTAATTGTATGTCAATCAATTGTATCTGGTATTCTAGATCTAACTCTGTGAAGCCAATATGAGGCACAAAATACATCTAATTGTATTATTATGAATTACTAACAAGAAGTATTGTTGAAAGGTGGTATATGTATATGTTCAATTATAAATACCTGGCAGGACTGTGGGAAAACATAGTGTTCCATTTGGAGCATAAAGGCAATCATTTGAACATTTCCCCACTCTCACAGGCTCTCTCTTGTATGACCAGTCGTGTAAGACCAGCATGCAAATGGCAGCCTTATGGAGCAGAAGGAACCCTTCCATGACTGCCCTTCTGGAATCAATTTCACGCAACAGGACACTAGTCTACAAAATAGGTCAGCCTTGTCAGCAAGTATACAAAAAGTTACCTTATAGAATTTATAGACACACACAAGACAATGTGAGAAATGGCAAATTCTTTGCTCAAAGCAACGGCTGATTAAAGTACTTCCTGCAAGTAATTTAGTAAATGTACTTGTTTACTGCAATGATTAATGAGAACCTAGATGCATATTCAGTTTACACTGATGGATCAAAAGCAAGAACCCAAAAAAGATTGCTCAAACACAAAATACAGGAAATCTGACGTACCTGTCCCTCTTGACTGTCCCCGTTGTTTCCCAACATACTAACTTTAATCTTGACACTTTCCTGAAGGAATATAAGGAGAGGAAGGTGAAAGAAACGTATTATGAATTCCTAAATATAAAATCTCTGAAAACACTAGGTAGTTGACTCTATTTCTTGCTTGAGAAAGGGAAATTTTGTGCTTTTGTATATGACATAATATATCAAGTATTGCTTACCCAGTGTTCTCTGTGTACAGGTAAAAGGAAAAGACAGCTAACAAGATGAAAAAATCACCATACTAATTAGAGACAACAATTCCAGGGGCAATGGGAACCAGATACAGGCTATCTAACTATCTGTTTGTGTGCCAGGAAATTTCCAGTTTTAATACATACTGTTCTTATCCATTATCTGATTGTAGAGTTTGTAGCTAAATGCATTATCTGATGGATTTAAGGCTCCGTTGTATATTCTGCCATGTTTCCCCGAAAATGACAGAGTCTTATATTAATTTTTGCTCCGAAAACGCATTGGGGCTTATTTTCAGGGGATGCTTTATTTTTTGATGTACAATCTACGTTTATTCAAATACTGTACAGTCATGTCATCATCTTCTGGTTGCTGCACAATGGTGGAGGGTGGGCTTTCACTTAACTAGGTCTTATTTTTAGGGTAGGGCTTATATTACGAGCATCCTGAAAAATCATACTAGAGCTTATTTTCAGGTTAGGTCTTATTTTCAGGGAAACAGGGTAGTGTTTATCCTTGAATTGCCCCATATATTGGGCAGCCACTTATATATACTGTACACATCTTGTATACTATACAGCTCACCCAATTCCCATCATGGCCCCTGGTAAATTTACATTCAGTACTTTTTATTCTGTTTAAGTAGGTCACAGACTCTGCCTGAATCAGTAGAACTCTAAATAAAGTGTTGGACAGAAACAGTATTTGGCCATTTTGAGAAAGGACAGTCACCTCACTCAATGTTGTACCATTTGTACACTCTAAATTTATCCTAAATTTGTCTTGGACTGTGTCAAATATTAAGTTCCTTTCTCCTGTGCCCTGGAGTCATAATATTTTAAGTGCACTGTGGAAAAACACTTGTGACCAAAATGAATATGTCAATGCATCTCAACAAGAACACCCTCTCAGTCAGGTACAGTAGATGTACAATATAGGGTACCCAAAGTTTATTTAAGGCTGTTCATGTAGCTCTGTGTCAAATGAATACAGGGGTCTACGAGCTAACTTCTGCCTCATGCAAGCAAAGGCATTAATGAGTATATTGTTCCTCAGCTGTTTATCCCTGTTACTAAGTAACTAGAGATATACTGTCTATGAAAAGTACTCTACAAATTGTTTTTAAGCCATTTCACAATCAGTCACCAGTTCAGATCCCTCAGAAGCATGACTTCCACAGCACACATTTCAATGTATAATTGGTTAACTGTGCTCCTTTTGCATATTTAAAGTCACAGTTTAAAATCCACAGACAGTCCCATCTAAACCCATCAGCATTTTATTCAATTAATCTGTTCTAGTCAGCTATAGCCAATGGACATCAGCCACTGTTAGGGCGTGTGGCCTCGCTAAATATTGCAGGAGGAGTAGCACATGACAGAAACACTGCTTCATGCTCCCAGCTGAAGGGAGAACAACCTCTAAATCCGGCCTAGTACTTAATTCTCTTCTCCTCCATCAGTTCTCTTTATTTTTCCACACAAAGTTCATGTTACAATATGTTGTAGTTGTCAGGGTTTGTCACCCAGCCCAGGTGTTCTTTCTTCTCAGGGTCAAGCACCACAGACACAGCTGTTGCATTCAAAGCATTAACATTTATTTCCAAAACTTCTAGGAAACTGGTAACATCCACATTTAACACCAAACAACTCTTCGGCATGTAACAAGGTACCGAAAGAATTATTATCTTGAACCATAAATGGGTTGTTTAACTCAGCGTTCTGAAACATCTGTCCATTCCCTTCTCTCAGTTCTCTCAAATGGCATCTCAGACATCTCCCATCAGGTGGTATTGAATGGTCCCAGCAGTCTTTCTCAGGCGCTCCCAAGGCCCTGGCTTGAGGGTCTCTCCTTCCCATATGCCGGAGTCCATCTCACTTGTTCCCTCCTTTCTCTTTTAGCTCTCTCCTCTCCTCTCGTATGTCGCGGGATTCCTTCCCCCCTCCAATAAGAGGGTTTCACAACTGTCATTCCCCTCCTCCTTCTTTCTGCCTCCTCTCATGGGACCATGAGTTTCTCCCACTTACTCTTCCAGGGGTTCTCCATCCACATCCACTTCCATCCTGGGGGTAATATTCTTTCCTTCACTTTCTTCTCTGCCTCTCCTGCCTCTGGCTTTCTTCTCTTCCCTTTTCTTCTCTTCCCATTTTCCCACCTTTTCCTCTCCACCAACCGCTTTACTCCTTATTCCCACCTGTTCTGTTTTCTCCATCATTTCCCATTCCTTTGTCCTGGAACCTTCCTCTTTTCTCTCTGCCTCATTTTTTACCTTCTTCTTCTTGGGATATCTTTTCCATCCTATTTCTTCCCTCTGGGGGTTCTGTCTTCCCTTGTAAGTGGGACAGATGGTGCTTGGGTGAGTAGGGTTTCACTTCTACCACCATCCTCACATTTATGCACTCACTTTTCCACCAATTCCCCAATGAGTAGCAATGTTAAGTCTACTGAGGCAAAATCATCAGGTAGTCCCAAGGCATCTTAAATACTAACAAATTTATTACTCCAGGCAGCTTTTACATTCTAGTTGCACTAAACGGTTTGGGATCTATTCCCCTACTCCAGTTAGTTAGTTAGAAAATAAACATTCTAACAGATTAAAATAAAGTTTAATATAAGTTCCTGGATTTATATTAAATTGGATGGCCAGGTTTTGGTGGTAGCCAGGAGTGCATCTGAACAATTAAAACTAGTGTGCCAGCTGTGCCCATTCCTGGAGAGGTCTGATCTAGCCATGGTGACACTGACTGGATTACTGTAACTCACTCTATGTAGGGCTGCCTATGGAAAATGTCAGATGACTTTAACAGGTCCAAAGCGCAGCAGCCAGATTGCTGACTGAGACTAGTTACAGGGAACATCTAACACCCCTGTTACAGCAGCTCCAATGGCTGCCGATCCATTTCTGGGCACAGTTCAAAATGCTGGTTCCATCCTATAAAGCCCTAAATGGTTTGGGTCCAAGCTGTCTCAAAGACCATGTCTCCCATTATAACCCTGCTTGGGTGTTAAGGTCATCAGGGGAGGCCTTTCTCTCAGTCCCCACCATTTGGTGCGGACACTGGAGAAGAAGGCCTTCTCTGCTGCTGCTCCCAGAATTTGGGCCTGCCTCCCACAGGGCTGGCCCCATCTTTGCTATCTTTTCTCTTCAAGCAAGCTTTCTCTCAGTGACTGGCTGCTTGTGTGGGGGTTTTTAATGGATTGTTGTCCCTTCCTTTAGACTGTGTTTTAGCACACACAAAATGGTTTTGTTTACCATTTCTCAGAGTGGTATTTGATCATGTTTAGTATTTGTATACTCCTTATTTTTACCTTTAAATATTATTTTCTAATCATATAAGCCACCTTTGAAAGAAAGTCACATTAGGAGTATTAATTAAGACCACTTATAATGTAGAGAAAAGTTAGAAGAAAAAGCATATTCAAATAACACTGACATTTCTCACAAGAATGGTAAAACCCAACAAAAAAGACAGGAGACTAGGAACATAAAAGGAGCTATCTGAACTGAAAACAAGTCTTACATGTTAACTGTGAGTATCACATCACATTCTTTTCACATACCACATTTATATTATCACGGGTGCTAGCTTTTATGTTCTTATGGCTTCCTAGTATTTTTTTTCCTTCTCAAGTATTAACTACATACAGTATGCTGTATGACTTGGAGGGGGAGTTCCCTGGTTACGCTTTAACCACCTTTCGTTTTCAACACTCCCTGTGCCTTTTCTCTATAATTCTGTGTATTAGATTCCACAATGTTTCCTTTGTAAGTTGAATGCAAAGAATGACCCAACTCCTATCAATAAGCCAAAAAAAGGGGGTGGGGGAATGGAGAAGGCAGCTGTGAAGCATGTTCTAACTTAGAAAAATCATGCCAAAGGGAAAGTCATTGTTGCATAAATTCTTTGGAAAGACATTTAAGTTGTGCAACTGTGGTCATGTAGGAGGATGCATAAAAAGCAAATAAGTGCATATCAAACTTCTGTCTTTTTCGCCTTTCAAATTTTTTTAAAACTTGATACTTCTAACCGTTTTTCAAAATGTCATATTTATGAAGTAAACTGTGTTCCAATGGTAACTTTACACTAGCGGGCTCAACTGATCTGTAAAGCTTTCATATTCTGAAGATTAAAAAAGAGAAAGAAATGCAGTTGGCAGAAGTGACATAGTGTGGAAGGAGACTTTACTTCCTTTTTCGCCTTTCAATTTTTTTTTTAAACTTGATACTTCTAACCGTTTTTCAGACAGGAAAAAAAATGTGAAAAAAATAGTATAACAGACTCTGCATAACAGAATCTCCTTGCCAAGTACAGGTCATATTTATGAAGTAAACTGTGTTCCAATGGTAACTTTACACTAGCGGGCTCAACTGATCTGTAAAGCTTTCATATTCTGAAGATTAAAAAAGAGAAAGAAATGCAGTTGGCAGAAGTGACATAGTGTGGAAGGAGACTTTACTTCCTCTTGCCTTCTAAAGTGCTGTCAAATTGCAAGGAGCTCTTGATAACAGTGATCTTGAGTGACTCTCCAGCTGCTTCTCCAGTCTCAGAGAAAGGCAGTGTGTGGCCCTGGGCAGGAGAAGACAGCACCCCCACCCTCACCCCCTAGCTGTTCTTGCACCCTTAGCTGTCTCCTGGTGCCATTTTTTTCCACACATACACACAAATGAACTGCTACTTCTAGAAGCTTCCAGGATCAGCAAGTCATCTTTGAAATAAGATACAGGATCTTCCCCTGCATTGTTTAGCATCATAATTATCCATTTTTCAAAACTAGAAAGAGAGTTCTAGCCACTTCCAGTTTTGTTTTTGGCATTTTTTTTCTTTTCTGTATAGCCACTGGAAAGGCCCAGAGGCAGAAACCATGTCTTAGACAGGAAAAAAAATGTGAAAAAAATAGTATAACAGACTCTGCATAACAGAATCTCCTTGCCAAGTACAGGTGGAAAGAAAGGGGCAAGAGTCATTATTGATTTCTGATATCTTTTTACATAAACTAACAGCTGACCACTTGGGTCATTTAGGGAGGAAAAGAAATGATAAACTGAGCAAGATGAGCAAAAGGCTTAGGGCCAGATGGAGTTAGATGGGTTATAGGCACATTGTTTTTAGGCAATTTTTTTTGTAGTTCCTTTTTCATGCTACACCTGTGCAGCAAACTGTAAAATGCACATTTTGAATAGCTGCATGTCTGCAGACCTTACTCAGACCTGGCAGAAGGCAGTCTGTTTTGCTGCCTATTTTGGCTTCACTTAATTACTGTAAATAGTAGAACCTTTGTATGGTGCTAATGCCTAGCCACTCTGAATCCATCATCTTTGTAAGTCTAAGTGCCCAACCAAATGCCCACCTTTACATATTTCTAGGCAAGGTGGTGATTGTTTTGGATCCACTGTGGGTCTGAAGCAGCAGGGTATCTGCCCTAACAAAATTGTATGCAAGAGCCTCAAGTCTTCAAGGAGCTTCCTCCTTAAAGTGTCTGGCAAACAGCCTGTCAGGGAAAGCTTCTTTAAGAAGCCCTTGCCCAATTTCACCCCATCTTTCTATTTAGTCCTAATAAATCCCCACAAGCAATGACTGAGAAGTGTGAAGGATGGATAAAATAAAAGAAGGGACATCCTTTCAGGATAGTGGGACTTTCTCTCAAATATTCTCCACCTCTGCATTACTCAGATGGCAGTTATACAGGAAGAAAATTACCCAAGAGCTTCACATCCTTGATTCCTTTCTGATGGCTAAAGGTTTAGGAACTAATACCTTTCTTTTTTACTCCCAGGCCTCATGGCAACACTACTTATGGTTTTGTTGAGTGTTGCTGAAATTGAATACCCACTTCACACCTCACCCAAAACCATTATGTTGTCCTGTAGCCCTACACTTCTCTGTGGATGATGGAGGGATATCCAGGAATGGTTCACTATTTTATTTTCTGCAAATAGCCATCTGCTCTGCAGCGCAGACAATCACTCTGGAAAGGCTATACAGCAACAGAGCAAGAATACACAGAGCAACAATAAAAAGGAACCCCCAGAACTGGCCCTAACATTTGGGATAGTGAGGTGGTTGTTCCGGGTAACATGCTGTTCTCCTCTGATTTGAAACGGGCAGCTGCCCATCAATGCTGGAGTAAGATTTAAGTTCCAATCCTAGTGGCTTCAACAGGTGGAATACTGAGGGACACCATTCTGACTTGCACCTCAAGAAGCAAAATATCTCACATCCACACAGGATACTCAACCACTATTTATAGGAAGCGTCCTTAAAGTCCTCTTATCCTTCTGTAAAATACAGAATGCCATTTATGCTGCGCCAAGAAGCAACATTCCCAAAATGCTGATTACAGCCAAAACAGGTGGACTTAATACAGTGGTGTTTTGATTTTTTATGCTGAGCCGAGAAGGAACATAGGTGGACTTAATACAGTGGTGTTTTGATTTATGAACATCCCTACTTATGACCATTTCGAGTTATGACCAGCTCCAGCTGCAAAATTTTGCTTCTACTTGCAACTGGAGCTTCCACTTAGGAACAGAAAAAGGCAGGGGGAAAAGGTGGGAAATTCAAATTTCTAACTGTAGGTGGTGCTGAGGCTGCTTCTTTGTAGCTCTTTCGCCCTAGCAGTTAGAGGTCGGGGGCTTGGGATTCTGCTTCTGAGTGAGCATGTGTGTGTGTTTACAGGGACGCTTTGGGCTGCCTGGTAAGGTAAGGTGCTGTTTTTTTCTGCTTTTAAAAAACTTTTCTGGGTGTTTTTGCAGCGTGGTTTTGGGCTGGGAGGTTATGTTTCTGTGCTGTGATGGGTCTTGGGGGGTTTGTTTGCTTTTTGAGGTTCCCCCCATTTCTAATGGGTCTTGTGGGGTTTTGTTGCTTTTTGGAGTGTTTTTTCCAATTTCTAATGGATCTTGGGGGGTTGTTTTTTTTTGTTTTTTTCCCTATTTCTGATGGGTCTTGGGGAGGTTGGTTTTTTTTGCTTCCCCCATTTCTGATGGGTCTTGAGGAGTTTCGTTTGTTTTGGGTTTTCCCCCCATTTCTGATGAGTCTTGGGGGTTTGTTTGTTGGCTTTTTTTCACAATTTCTGATGGGTCTTGGGGGATTTGGTTGCTTTTTAGGGGTTTCCCCCCCCATTTCTGATGGGTCTTGGGAGGTTAGTTTTTTGGGGGGGGGAGTTGTCCATTTCTGATGGGTCCTGCATGCTTCCCTTGCTTTTTCCTTTGTTTTCTTTGCATTTCTGAGCTGCTCACTTTGCTCTCTGTCCATTTCTGATCTGCTCCGTTTGTTTTCTGCACATTTCCAATGGGTCTTGCACGCATGATTGCTTTTCATCCCCCCTTCAAAGGGATTAATCACGTTTCCAATGAGTCTTGCAGGGATTTTGTGGGGTTTTTGGTGACTTTTTTTCTTCGGCCGGAATGGATTAACTGCATTTCAATGCATTCCTATGGGAAATGGTGCTTCGACTTACAATCATTTAGAGTTACATCCATCTTCTGGAACTGATTATGGTCGTAAGTCGAGGCACCACTGTATATCATTTGTAACAAAACGAATGGTGGTGGTGGTGGAGGAGGAAACCCAAAACACTGCTGAGACTAATAAATCCGCACTTTAAAAATTCACTTCAAGATTTCTCCGTACAGTAGATCTTTGCAAATTAATACATCTCAATTAAAAGCAGGAGCACAAACAATCAAAACTAAGCCATATTTTTTCAGACTTCCGCAACAGAGATTTGTTTCTAAGCTCTCTAAGCGCTTAGTGAGAGGCTGAAGGCACTGAAGCCATTAAGTGCTCAGAAACAATACTGCTTCAAAAACATTACTGTGATCTATAAAAGTTATTTAGTGCCTATACAGTTGCTTGACTGGTTTATGACTGTAATAAATGAAGTGTGTGTGTGTGTGTATCATAGAGAGAGAGACAGACAGACTACTACTCCCAGAAACCCCCTAGTTACTGTAATCGAAAGAGTAACTTTTCCATGATGTTCCATGATCTGAAACATCATGCTCATAGAAATATAACATGACTAATTCAAAGAATCTGACAATAATTGGTGAAAAGAACTACAGCAGATCCATAACCTGCCAATCTTAGTTTTCTATGCCAAATCTATTTTCTTCCTGTTTGTTGCCTTCCATACAGTTTGTTGACTTCGGTACAGAAATAAACTTGTGTTACCTTCTCTTCGTGACGAACAAATAGATATTTGATACAAAACATGCAATCCCAGTGTTCAAATTATATAAAGTAGTACAAATACAATCAGATCCATATGGCTAACCTGCTCAGGCACTGTGCTACTAGTGCATATGCAGTCACTGACACTCACGCCTGGACAGACTCTGCGGGCAGATAGTCCCCCTGCTTCGCCCAAAAACCTAAACCACACAGGGCCTTGATCCCCTCAGGCGGCAGTTCTGCATCTATACTGATGTACATACAACTCCTTCGTGGGTTCTGCATGAGCGTAACCATTTTATATGGATAATATTTAGATTTACAAGGGGCACTTAAAACAAGGCAGATCGAATGCAGGGTCCTCCATTGCTACGGTAGCATGATATTTGCATACCGAAATATTCCTTGCAAGCAAGCAATCATGGTGCCTACAGAGCGCCCGAGCTTGGGTGACATCTCACCGAAGGGACACCCCGACTACCCACCCCCCGTTCCCATTCCTTCTTTCTCTCGGCTCCTTTTCCCACCCGCCCCCGCAGCCGCCCTCCGCTTGCTGCCGGCTAGTCTGGTTCTGAAGCGGGTCTCTCGGGAGCCCTTTCCCCCTCCCTACCTGGCTGACGAGCGGGAAAAAAGCGTCGGCTGGGTCGGGCGAGGCTGAGCCGCGGGACCCCAGGAGAAGGAACCCCGCGATCAGCCACAAGAACTCGCGTGGCCCCGGTGCCGCCTCCATCTTGGGAGCCGGGAATATAAAACTAAGTGAAACATCAACAAACAAGAAGAGACGGCGGCAGGCGGAGCAGAAGCTGGGAGGAGTCCGGCGGGAAGAGGAGGAAACAGCCGGGAAGGACGCAGGCTGAAGGGAGATGGGGGGTCCGCGAGGGAGGCGGGGAAGGAGGGCTGTCGGGGCAGAGTCCGGCCAAAAGCCGCGGAAGACCCGGTTGGCTTTGGGAGAAAGCCTATGGGCCGGACCCAAGGCGGCCGAGAGCCATGGTTCCGCGCTTCATCTCACTCAGGGCCGAAGGAAAAGCGCGGGGAACAACAAGCAGACCCCTCCCCGGTTTCAGGCAGGCGCCAGCAAACGGTCAGGCTCGTCACAATGCCCCGCTTTGAAAACAATTTTATTTGTTTGTTTGTTTAGAAGATTTCTACCCCGCTTTTCTCCTTGAAAAGAATCCAAGGCGACTTACATCCTTGAAAGACAATGTTTTAAGTTGAAAACAAAGAGCACTCAATGGTGATTAACATCATTAAAAGACAATATTTAAAACTATGAACAATAAATAAGGTGACATCTTATATCATTAACAGGCAATATTAAAGCAAAGATGAGTAAGTATACACATTTTTTAAAAAATGTCATTCCTAAGAAATGGAAAACAAAAATGGAAAATACAAGCAGTACAGTAGTACTAACAATCCAGTCAAAGCAGTCATGCATAACAGTATACAGTACAGTATCTACAAATCAGGCACAGGTAGCTGGTTACTGAGGGAAGGCTTGCCTGAAGATAAAGTTATTTGCCTGCTTGCGGAAGGATAGCAAAGATTAGACCAGGCTGTGGGAGGGAGTTCCAAAGTCTGGGAGCAGCAACGGAGAAAGCTCCCTCCTGTGTCACCATCAGATGCACCTGTGAGGGTGGCAGACCAAGAGGAAGACCCCTCCTGATTATCTTAATGTCCCTGCTGACTCATAATGGGAGATACCGTCTTTGAGATAGCTTGAACCCAAGCCATTTAGGGCTTTATAGGTTAATAACAGCACTTTGAATTGTGCCCAGAAACTGATCAGCAGCTGGTGGAGTTCTGAACGCAACCCATCTGTGTTTGATTATTTATCCCAAAAGTTTTTCAGCTTCTTTGCACTTCGAATATATTTTCACAGTGTCTTGCAAATCACCAACTGATGTACATCCCCATACAGTACCTGATACAGAAAACAGCCGAAAACATAAAACCTGTAAAAAGCACAACAACGTAAAGGAAGACAGTTTGACAAGCCTGGTGCCTTCTCTTACACTTTACAAAGAAGAGTTTGCTGGGTTAGTTGTTTGTATTAAATTAAAACAAAGAGTCTTGTCATACAAGAAGCAAAACAGAAGCAAAAAATACAACAATAAAAAAATGAAGAAGACCAAAGCTTTGTGATACCTTAAAGACAAACTGTTACATTCTAATGTGAGCTTTCATAGATCATAGATGGCACTTTACTCCTGTAAGATTGGCAAACATGTCAGAAAGGATCAGTAATGTTTGTTGGAAATGTAAAAAAAAAAAAAAAATGGATACAGGTTTGGTAAATGGCAAAAGAGATTGTTCAACAAAAATTAAGTTTTAAACTTGAAATGTTATTATTGAATATAATGCCAGAAATTATTGATAAGAAAATAAAATATAGTCTACTGTATATATTCACAACAACTAGGTTACTCTGGGCCCAAAAATGGAAGAATGTAGAGACACCAACGATGGATACACCAACACACCCATAAAAAAACACCCTGATCACCATAATCACCCACTCTTCTGAAAAGGACAAAAAGCTTATCCCACAGCTACAAATAGTCAACCAGACTACACCAGAACACAGACAGAGTTCTAACACCTGTCCTCTGAAGATGCCAGTCACAGCGACTGGCAAAACATTAGGAAGAAAAAGCTTCAAAACATGGCAAAGCAGCCCGAAAAACCTACAACAACCATACAGGGCTTTTGTTTGTTTGTTTCTATTCAGTTTATGCCTAGGGAAGTTTTTTTGACCAGAAAAATATACCAGAGTGGGCACGAGACAAGCTTTTCCTTAGACAGCATTCTAAAGCTGGGGCAGAGCTGCCTGTAAGTAGCATCTTTGGCACTGAGGAGCTTTGGTGCCTTTTTGATTGAGATTCAATCATGTAAGATGGTTATATGTGAAGAAGTCCCTTTGCAAGGTGTTTCGCCCCTTTCTCGCACAGCACTAAGGCTGCAGTTTGTTTGGTACAATTAGGAACACTCCTGAATATTCTATTCTGCAGTGTGTGGTTGCTTAATTCACTTCCAGATAGAGCTGTGGGTGGCATTCTCTTTGATGACAAGATGTGACGTATGCAGTGGGTTGTGAAAGTAGAAATGAGAGGAGAGAAACTCCTATATTTTCCTTGTCTTACATGTTTTTAAGGCATCAATAATCCAAAAGAGGGGGGTATAGGAGCAATCCGAAGTGCTGTCTGGATCCTTCTCACATTGAAGAGCCTTTTAAATGTGACTCAGATTGTAGAAATTTTGACATATTTCCCTGAGTTTGTGTGTCTTATGTTTCCTTCTGCCCAAAGAGGAGTGGTTGGAAGCAGTGTATGTGTTTCAGGTGGGCAAATTCACATCCTTCTGGCATTTTTGCCAAAGAGCAAAATGCACGTTTAGTTCTTTCACAACATGCATATGTATCTTGCTGCAAGATCTGAAGAGGGGCGGTGGGGTAGGGGTATGAATTTGCTGCATGATCCAGCATGCCTAATCCCATTTAAACCAAGGAGATTAATAGCAGCAAGGTAATAATGGGAGGAAAGCAGTCATTAAGATTCACTGATGCCTGCAAAGAATGTCAATAATTTGATTATTTTACACTCCTAAAATGTGCATGCACAGTAGTCAGTTTATAACTGTCTGCTGAATTAAACCCTTTTTTGTTGATATGTGGAATGAATGAATCTTTAATGTGATAGACAGCAGTGACTCCTAAACCATTCTGTTCTGTCAGATGAGGACCTATTGGGAATTCTTCTGATTTGCTAATATAGTATATCATTTGGTTTTAGTGATACACTGTTTACACCCTGATTGCCACATTTGATCCCCTTTATTTTCCTTTAGAATGAGGATGATGTTAGCCCATGAGGAGAGATGCTTGATAGTTCAGTGGGAAGTGAATGAAATGAAGCAGAAATAAAACAGAAAGGATAAGGACTTCAATTTTATCCTGGGGAGATACAGAAGTGCCATTTGTCAAGTATAACTTAGCACAGAATAAAAGTCAATGGCAAAATCTATGCTTTGTACACATAAGGAGTCAGGCTCAACTGCCAACATGTTCAGGTAGAGCTGAAAAAAGACCCCTGTCTAAAAACACGGAGAGTGTGAGCCAGTTGTAATTTTGGCTGAGGATAATCCCACATCCTGATGACATGGGATTTGGATTTTTAGAAGAGGTAGTTGTGTTAGTCTGTACTAGTGTATCAGGCCAGAAACAATGGAAAAACAAAAAGAAGATAGAAACATTGTGGCACTTTAAACTGCTAAATTTTAACGTAAGCTTTCATGGACAAGTCGACTTCAAACCTGGTCTGTCCACGAAAGTTTACACTAAAATATAGTAGTTAGTCTTTAAGGTGTCACAATGTTTTTATCTTTTTTTATTTTTTCTTTTGTTTTTGGCCTGGTATTGGATTTGGAGAGATTAATATAAACAATATGGAGTTCAGTGGCCTCATCATCATACTTCCTTTAAGACAATACCCCATGTTCTTTTCAACCACTATAATATTTTAAGAAGCAAAGTATTTGGTTGGTTAAGAAGATGCTTGAGTGGTATATGTGGCAGCTTACCATGCAAAGGGATGATATACCTAAAGGCAGAAACAATCTTGACATCTCCAGCTATGTCGATTTTAAAGGGTGAATGTCATGACTTCATAACTGAAACTCAAGTTTATTTTTTTATTTGTATGTCTGCTTCTGGATACAGAAAAGCTCATTGGCAGTAACTCTTGAATGACCAGTGTTTTTGTGAGTCCATTACCAGAATATAATATACGTACAAACACACCACCTGTAGGCAGGATCTATTTGTTGACTGTGTGCCATTATCGCACAGACGTTTGCTTTTGTAGGAGTAGAATATGTTATCAGTCAATGATGCCCAAAATCCTGTTGCCTACTAGCATGCCAATCGGATTTCGCGCAGCCACGCAAACAGCCAAAATCCTGTTGCCTAGCATACCAATCGGATTTCGCGCAGCCACGCAAACACACGCGCACTCCCTCCACCGCTCAACCTGGAACACTCGTACGTCCCTCGTAGAGCTCAAAGCGTGAGACCGCCTTCGCGAGTCGCACCATAGAGCTAGAAACAGATAGCATCGCAAAGCATGGGCCAGTAGAGCGAGTCCTAGCACCTCCTTTGATACTACAGTATTTCCACCCTCTTTCCCACCCCCCACTACTGCGAGGCGCATATGAGTGCCGCCTACAGGAAATAAATCCCGCGTTTTTATACTGTAGTTGCGATTGGGCAGCCGCGCCGCGTGCACTCAAAAAAGCAGGGAAGTTCGCTCTGAAATCAATGCATTGCTCCTAAAAGTATCGCTGTTTTTGCTGCACCTTTTTTTTTTTGCAACAAGTTAACGCGTCTTCCTCTTTGTAAAATAAATAAATAAATATTCTGTAGCCGTTCTCATTCCGGACTGCTTTGTTAATGAAAAAAGATTCTGTACATATGTTGTCCTTTGGAACAGTGACGAGCAAGGTGTTCAGATGTTGGTGGCTGGACTGCAAGTCCCATCATGCTTCCTGAAGGCGAGGACCGTCGGGAGTCGCGATGCAATAACATCCTGATTTGAAACGTCCAGGCCAAGGCCAGGGCAACTTCCTATCCCCACATGGAGAGGGAAGATGGCGGAGGTTGAAAATTGAACAGCTCTTCCCGAACATATTTATTTATTTATTCTATTTATATCCCGCCTATCTGGTCGTTATGACCACTCTGCAAGTTTGCAATATTGCAAGTTAAACCGTAGTTGTGCTGAGAGTAATTTAGATTTCCAGTTAAAAAAAAAATAAACATGCGCAGCCACACATACACACCGGACTGTTGGTATCGAATCCTCTCTCTCTCAAGCAGCTCTAGCCCTTCAGAAGTGCTACAAAAGTTTCGTGTCCATACGAAAGAAGAAGAGCAAACTATAGCAGAAGGCAGCTGCTCGGGGCGTGTGTGTTTCAAACCCTTGCTACCTTTTTATTAGCGCGGGAGGTGGAGACTCTGCCGCTGCTAATAATCCTATCTATGCTCAAAGGCCCTGGATTTCTCCCTTGTTTTCTATAGGCAGCTCTCCCTTCGCTTCCCCCCCCCCCGGGGCGCCGCCACAGGAATAAATGTCAGCGGAGGCAACCCTGTCACCGCACGTCAGAACCTGGGCAGCAGTTGAGGAAAGCTTTGGCGGGGGGAGGGGGTGGGGAGCAAGCAGGTCCGTTTGAAGGCCCTACAAGCGTCATCCGACGGGGTTAATCCGGCCATCCCGCCCCCCCCCCTCCGGGCGCTCGCAAGGGCGTCTCTCCAAAGGTCTCCCGGGGGGAACTCGGTCGTGGGAGCGCGTCTGTGGCCGGCGTGGCGGTTTCTTTGCTGCCGTCAAGCGGCGGGAGGCGAGGAGACCGTGTTGTCGCACCCAGCCAACCCCACCTCCGGCACCCGCAGCAGTTCCGGGCATGTCGGGATTGTAGCAGCAGCTCTTTCCGGAGCGAAGACGACGACCGAGGGCGGCGGGAAGGCGAGCGAGGCGGTCTGTGCGCCATGGCGGTGTTGTTGGAAACGACGCTGGGCGACCTGGTGGTCGACTTGTACACCGAGGAGAGGCCTAGAGGTGAGGGGCCGCTCCGGCGGCGTGAAGGTAGCTGGACGGGGTCGAAGTCAGGAGAAATGGGGACGGGCCGCGAAGCTCTTCAGATCCGGCGCCGCTGGATTCTTTTAGTATGGCTGGATGCGGCTGTTTTTTCCGCAGATGCCCGTTGGGCCGAGGAGGCGGCGGCCGTCCTTGCCCGCGGCCGAGCAGCTGCTGCCTTCCCGAAAGGTGCTTCACCGGTTGGATTTCTGTTCGGCCAGGACCCGCTGAAACCGCGGAGCCCTTAAAACGGGCCCTAAAGGATCGGAAGCCTCGAAGTGGCTGGACTTCGTAGTCCGAGACGTGACTTTCGCAGCACTTGCCCACTTGAGGTCTTATTTAGGCTGCTAAAATCTAGCAGGGGTTTGGTTTACATATATGCCCTTGGCAGTACTGTTTCCCCCCCATAAGAATGCTTGAAGCATGATTGTGGAAGAGCCATGTCAGGTTTTGTTTTTTAAATGCAACACTGTGTTGCCATAGTAATTTTTCTTTTCTTGGGCCTGCTACACTGCTTTTAATAAGAACTTGGGTATGGTCAACCTTTTCTGAGGACTTCGTACCTAGAAAACCCTGGAAAGAGTCCCCATAAATTGGAATCAACTTCATAATCCAGAGTTATTATTTGTTACGATGTCCAGAAACCCAGTCTTCTTAGCCTATGGCTCCTGTGGTTCATACTAGGGCATAGGATGGGCTCTTCAGTATTAGGCAGTACAGTAATATCATGGCCTGATCAAGTACTTAAATGCTCCTCCTTTTATATTCCAAATAAGCAAAGACTGCCGTTGATCTCCATTATGTGGTAATAGGACCAGGGACAAGGCATCCTTGGGGGGGGCATATTTATTATAACTCCTACTGAATGATTATGTATATTTTGTGGTTTATTGTTTTACCTTATATTGGAAGCCGCCTAGAGTGGGCCACGGGTCCAGATAGGCGGGATATAAATCAAATAAATAAATAAATAAAAAGGAATCTTTAAAACTGCAGGATTCACTGAATGTTGAAAGTGGATTTTTTAAAAAAGGTTAAGCACACAGTTTAGAGATGGAAAATCAAGGATCAATGTGTGGAATGTATACAGAAAGAATAACAAACTTAGTCCAGTCCCTACTTGTATAGCTGAAATCTTGGAGTCCCTAAAGGGCAGTACCACTAGGAATATGTGGAGGTGGGAGGGATGTGTGTATCAGTCACAAGAACAAGCTAAGTAGAATCTGCTCCCTTTGCTCTCTCAGCTTAACCGCTACATTAATGGACAGATCCCAATAGATGGTCAATCTATATTCTTTACCTACACACATCTTCAGTTGATCTTGGAGGGACCACCTTCACAAACAGCCAACTCAGGATGAGTTGCTCAAACCACCACTTTGTGATTACTCCCATAAACCCCAACTACTGTAGCATAGCCAATGGTCAGGGGATTGGGAGATTGTAGGTTTCCTGAATTCCCCCCCACACACACACACACTTATCTACACAGTAGGAAAAGGCTTTGTGCCATTAATATCTATGTGAGTGGCAAGTTGAATGCAACTAGCCCTTTCTAAAATGAGGAAAGCTGGTGAAGTATGTCGGCATTGTCTCATCTGGCCTGAAAAATCTGTTGCCCAGCTCTCATCTCATTTTAATTGAAACAGTTGCATATTTTCTCTATGTATCTCTGCCTCCACTTTTCTTTCTTCTTCTTCTGTAGTTTCCACTGTGTTGAAGTGTAAATTGTAATCCTCTCAGGGTAGGGACTGATGGGTACTCTGTGTAAAGCATCATATGCAGTGACATTACTATAATGAAAATACAAGTGGTGCCTCGCAAGACGATGTTAATTCGTTCCGCGAAAATTGCTGTCTTGTGAAAACATCATCTTGTGAAATGCGATTCCCCATTGGAATGCATTGAAATCCATTTAATGCGGTAATGAAAATACAAGTGGTGCCTCACAAGACCATGTTTATTCATTCCGCGAAAATTGCTGTCTTGCGAAAAACCATCCCTAAAAACCCATTTTGCAAAGCGTGGACTCATCTGTCAAAATCATCGTCTTGCGAAAAACGGTCCCCCCCAAAAAACACAACGTCTTGTGAAGCACGGACCGAAACATCGTCTAGCGAAAATCGGCCATAGGGAAAACTGTTTTGCGAAGCGCTATAGCGATCACAAAAACCCATTGACTTGCGAATAAACTGTTTTGCGAGGTAATCGTCTAGCGAGGCACCACTGTAAGTAATATGGGAATGGGTTGTAGATATTTAAGAAGAAAGGAAAGGCACTCTGCATTTGCTGGAATGCATTCATCTGTGTTCTTCAATAGGGTTTGCTAGAGTTTATTGATAGCAACATTCATTTCTATAGCCATTTGCTGGAATGCATTCATCTGTGTTATCTAAACACATATACCAGTGTTTCATACCCCAATGGTTCAGCTTATCAAGGGGAGAGGTAACGAATTTTCAGGAAAGTGAGCTGAGATACGGAGAATAAACTCTGCTCCTTCGAGAGGATATTCTTCAATAGGGTTTGCTAGAGATTATTGATAGCAACATTCATTTCTATAGCCTCTTTCATTTTAGTACAATATTTGGCCAATTCAGGACAATTGAAAGTTGGCATGGGATTGTTAGTCTAGCCTGGCTTTCCATAGTCATTATGGAACGTTTCATGGCATACCAATCATCCCTGAAAGACTATTCTTGCAAGCTATTTTTGATCCAATACTAAGGAGAAAGAGTGTGAATTTGTTTTGTTTAGCAAGATGCAGAGGGCTTCAATTATCTTACATTTCTTGCAGCATGTCTGAATTTTCTGAAGCTTTGCAAAATCAAGTACTACAATTACTGCCTTATACATAATATACAGGTAAGCATTCTTTTAAAAATGCCTTTTCTTTCTTAAAAGTATAAAGACCAATAAGAATTGAAGTACAAATTTGAATGTTATGTTGGTCAGTGGATTGGAGAACTGGACTTAAAACAAGGAAATGTGAACATATTGTCTCTGCTCATTTTTCTCCTAAAATGGAAATAACGACAGTGCAGTTGGCGTCAGTTATTGGTATGACAATAAAAATGGTAAATTATGTTAATAAGTAATATTAAAATAATTTTATATACATCTTGCATTGCTTCAGAGAGACTTTATTATACAAACCGGAGATCCCCAGGGAACAGGCCGTGGAGGTGAATCTATTTTTTGGTAAGTAGGATTAAAGCTTCAGAGCTTTGTATGTGTAAAGGTAAAGGTAAAGGTAAAGGTTCCCCTTGACAATTTTTGTCCAGTTGTGTTCGACTCTAGGGGGCGGTGCTCATCCCCGTTTCCAAGCCATAGAGCCAGCGTTTGTCCAAAGACAATCTTCCGTGGTCACATGGCCAGTGCAACTTAGACACGGAACGCTGTTACCTTCCCACCGAGGTGGTCCCTATTTATCTACTCGCATTTGCATGCTTTCGAACCGCTAGGTTGGTGAGAGCTGGGACAAGCGACGGGCGCTCACTCCATCACGTGGATTCGATCTTACGACTGCTTGGTCTTCTGACCCTGCAGCACAGAGGCTTCTGCGGTTTAGCCCGCCTCGCCACCACGTCCCTTCCGTGTATGTCCCTTTGTATGTGTAGCTGGAAATTAATCCTAATTGGCAGCAAGTAAAACCACACCTTGGATTGGGCTATCTGTTAGTTAGCTAAATTTCATCTGGAGCAATAATATACCTTTCTTGTGCTGCATTGATCTTGTCTTGGGAAGAGAGGCATCAGTTGCATCAGAACAGCCACTGTTTAGTCATAATAATCCATTCATTGTTTCCTCACAAGCTTTGGAAATTTCCCTGAATCTTTTATGTGAAAAGCACTTGAGGGGGCTGTGCCTTTTATAAAAAAAAAATCATAATTCCTTCGGAAATTAAGTTCACAACAGAGGTACCAGCCTGAACTTACTAACTGCATGGGAGTCTACTTGGTGAGATAGTATGTTCCTGTTGGAATGCCACAATTTGCAGGCAATGTGAGATGCAGCCAGAATCTCTGTGGCTGGTATCTTATTCATAGCCTGAACTAAGATTTGAGTCAACTGCTGAGTGGTAAATCAATGCTTATATCAATCCCGTAGAGACAGTGGATCTACTCTAGGTATTTCGTGGAATCGAATCCGGGTTTGCTGATGTAGAGACATTATTTTTAGAAAATAAAAGGGATGAAACTCCTAGAGGAGCAAGGCAGAGCATGTTTGCAATCTACTGTGGAGTTAGGAAATAAGCTAAAAATGTTAATTGTGAGTGGATGTTCATAGGAACATGTACTGTAGCTATAAATATTCTTAGTAAAGCACATACGTTGTGTCTTGCATAGATAGAATATAACATTATATAACATATAGAGAAGGGAACGAATCTCTCAGTTGTTCCAAAGTGCAGGACACATAATAATAGGCTCAGGTTTCAGGAAGCCAGATTTTGCCTGAATATCAGGTAAAAAGCATCCTAGCACTTAGAACAGTATTACAGTGGAGGCAATTAACTTGGGAATTGGTGAGCTCTCCAAAACTGGAGGTATTCAAGAGAAAGGTAACACAGACATCTGTCAGATATATTTTAACTTGGATTCATGCACTGAACAGGGGTTTGGATTCAAAGGCCTTATAGAGCCTTTTCAACCCCATTTTTCTGTGATTCTATGGTTTTGCCATCTTACAACTGTCAACCTCTGTGTATATTTCAGCAAGCTGTATGGGGATCAAGCTAAACTGTAGGTATTCAAGAGAAAGGTAACACAGACATCTGTCAGATATATTTTAACTTGGATTCATACATTGAACAGGGGTTTGGATTCAAAGGCCTTATAGAGCCTTTTCAACCCCATTTTTCTGTGATTCTATGGTTTTGCCATCTTACAACTGTCAACCTCTGTGTATATTTCAGCAAGCTGTATGGGGATCAAGCTAGATTTTTTGAAGCAGAAAAAGTACCAAGAATAAAACACAAGAAAAAGGGAACTGTGTCAATGGTGAACAACGGCAATGACCAGCATGGATCTCAAGTGAGTCCACAGTAGTGAAAGAGTCTTGAGCAAATTGAATTTTGCTGCTGATGCCACAAAGAATGAAAATAGTGGTCTGACGAGATGTAAGCTGTACGTGTAGTACAAATATGATCTTGAAAGTCACATGGTGGAAGGCTTCCATCAAGATTAAAAAATCACAACATGTACCAATATTGATTAAATGCTAAATGTAAACAAAGGTATTAACTACTACAACAGACAGAAACATGCAGTATCTATGTTATATTCCTCTTGTGTCAAAAGAGGAAGGATAATGCTGAATCTTATAACAGGTATATAGGTTTTTTTTAAAAAATGTATTAGCTATTTATGTTCTAATTTTGAAACAAATCTATTTCAATGTACAAATGAGAAGAGGTTTTGTATAACTCTCAATAAGAAGTTCCATCTTACTTACCTGCAACATTACATGGGCAATTGACAGTTGTAGAACTGGCACCCCTTGTATCTATTTCCAGAAAGAGATTGATAACTGATTCCAAATGAAATGTTCTAAAGCGGTGGTCCTCAACCTTGGTCCTCCAGATGTTCTTGGACTACAACTCCCAGAAGCCTTCACCACAAGCTGTGCTGGCTGGGGTTTCTGGGAGTTGAAGTCCAAGAACATCTGGAGGACCATGGTGGGGACCACAAGTACATGGAGGTCTTCGCCATTTTCCCAGTTCTAAATAGTGTTTCTGTCTTCTAGTTTCTCATCACAGCAGGGGAAAATCTGGATTTCTTAGACGGTGTACATACAGTATTTGGTGAAGTAACAGAAGGCATGGATGTATTGGCGAAAATTAACGAGGCCTTTGTTGACAAGGATTTTATTCCATATCAAGACATCAGGTTTGACTTTATGGTACTCTATAGGCAGACAAGACCAAGTAGCCAGCCCTTGCTAGTTTAAACCAAATGTCCATCTAGTACACAGTTGTTTGCCAGTTGCTTCTGAGGAAACAAGTACCAGCAATGAAATCCATGAGTGAGATATGTGTCACTTCCTGAAGCCCTGTCTTCTTGTCTGTCTTGTACTTGCTGCTGCAAGGGGATTGCTTAGTGCTAAAGAGCAGTGGTTCCCAGTCTTGGGTCCCCAGATATTCTTGAACTTGAGGTGAGGTGAAAAGTGGTGTGTCTCAGGGATCTGTCCTGGGACCGGTGCTTTTCAACCTCTTCATAAATGACCTGGAGACAGGGATAAGCAGTGAGGTGGCCAGGTTTGCAGATGACATGAAACTTTTCCGGGTGGTGAATACCTGAAGGGATTGTGAAGAGCTCCAGAAGGATCTCTCCAAACTGGGAGAAAGAGCGGCAAAATGGCAAATGTGTTTCAATATAAGAAAACATAAAGTAATGCACATTGTGGCAAAAATGAAAGCTTTATTTATCAGCTAATGGGTTCTGAGCTGAGCTGTCCGTGATGAATCAGGAAAGAAATCTTGATGTGCTGGTGGACAGCTCAATTAAAGTGTCAACCAGTGTGCAGCAGCAGCAAAGAAAGCCAATTCCATGCTTGGTATCACTAAAAAGGGGATTGAAAATAAAACAGCCAACATTATAATGCCATTGTACAAAACACTGGTAAGGCTGTACCTGGAGTATTGTGTACAGTTCCGGTCGCCGCACCTCAAAAAAGACGTTGTAGAACTGGAAAAGGTGCAGAAGAGACCGCCTAAAAGGATGACTGGGCTGGTGCACTTCCCTTATGAGGAAGGGCTACAGTGTTTGGGGATCTTTAATCTGCAGAAAAGGCACTTGAGGAGGGACATGATTGAGACATATAAAATTATGCAGCAGAGAGATAAGGTGGATAGAGGGAAGCTCTTTTCCCTCTCACACAATATCAGAACAAGGGCACATCCACTCCAGTGGAGTGTTGGGAGAGTGAGAACAGATGAAAGAAAATATTTCTCTACCCAGCGTGTTGTTAGTCTGCGGAACTCCTTGCCACAGGTTGTGGGGACGGCAGCTGGTCTAGATGCCTTTAAAAAGGGGATTGGACAGATTTCTGTAGGAAAAATCCATTGCAGGTTATAAGTCATGATGGGGACGTATAATCTCCAGGCTTAGAAGGAAGGTACCTCCAAATGCCAGATGCAGGGGAGGGGTATCAGGAGAGAGGTATCTAGTTGTCTCATGTGCTCCCAGAGGCACCCGGTGGGGTCACTGTGATATACAGGAAGCTGGACTAGAGGGCCCTTGGCCTGCTCCAGCAGGGCTGTCATGTTCTTACTGTATGTAAAACTCCCAGAAGCCTTCACCACTAGCTCTGCTGGCCAAGATTTTTGGGAGTTGTCCAAGAACGTCTGGTGATCCAAGGTTGGAAATTGCTGCTAAAGAGTTATCCCTTCTCTGTTGATGAGTAAGAAAAAAATTACTGCAGTTGCTGATCAATAGTAGGAGATAGGCTGAGTTTTCCTCATCTAGTTCTAAAAAGAAACTTTACCACTGAACATGGCTGTGCCTGGGAAGGAGTTGTTGAGCTATATGAGGAATACCTTTGAGCCAGAGGTTTCCCATCTCTGTTGCAACAGAACAATCATATGAACTGTATTTTTAAAAGTATGTGTTTTCTTTTTTTGCTACGCATACAGTATATCATTGGTAACTGAAGCTGACTATATCACCAAATAGTCTATTTAATTCTGGGTCAATGCGTTTCCAATTTGATGCAATTGCACCTATCTTTGGGAAATAAAATGTAATGTGGCAATTCATTTAACATACTGTTTATTTGTTCCATTCTTTGTTCAGAATAAACCATACTGTGATCTTAGATGATCCCTATGATGACCCACCTGGGTTGGCAATTCCAGATCGTTCACCAGAGCCCACAAAGAAACAGTTGGATGTGAGTGTTTCTGTTAATGTCTCATAAGACCAGGGGTGATGGGAGGTCAAATGCTGCAGGGATGCAGAGTGCTAAGAGATAGAGGTGTACTCCTAAGTGCCCCTTCAGTGTATCCAGAGAGAAAGTGTTAACCTCAAAACTAGTGGTAGCTGGAAAATTCACAGCTGAATAAAAATTCCAGTCTAGTTGTGCTTTGATAATGTGTCTCCTTCATTAACAGCAGTAAAATGTTTTCTTACCCTCATTTCAACAAAGTGGAGCATTAATGGACTGTCTCCTAGAAGAAGATTCACCTTTCTCTCTGCTGTACTCCATTTCAAGAAATAATGGTTGAAATCCTTTTTGTGTTTAGTTCTGCGGTGTAAAGCTGATGATGTCATCCACTGGGGCAGTTTTTTTTTTAATTAAACCTTTCCTCATTCTCCTGTCTTGAGGTCCCTATGGGTCCCAAGTTATCGCTTTCATCATCAGAAACCAGTGGGTGCCACAGGATGGAAAAAATATTTTATTGCTACTGTTGCTGAAGTTGTTTTACCAGTAGCAATTTTCAGTAATTAAAGACTTCCTCCTCCCATCCTTTCAACCTGCATGAATTCCTGACAATGAAAATGGTTAATGGGGACCCTTGGGGTGGGGTGTCTTAGAACAGGAAGTTCTCCAGAAAAGTGGCCCAACTTATGTTGTCAGCCTTACACTGCGCAACTTACATGCACAGGATTTCAAGTAGTGTGATTGAGTTTAATGTGACAGAGTTCAGCCACAGCTTAACTAATGTCCATGCTGGATTGAAGGAACACATCATGCTTTGGAAGTATTCATGTTTTCAAGAAGAACTGGAAATTCTGAGCAGACTTGATAGTGAAATGTACTATTTTTTATATGTATGGTAGCACACCTCTCTCTCTGGAAATACAAGACAGTGCCTCTGTGAAAGTACAATATTGGAAGTGTTTTGTGAGACCCGGGACAGTGGGAGGTGGAATGCTATGGAGCTGAGGAAGGTTAGGAAATGGACAGATATTCCCTAGTGCCTCTTCAATGTTTCCAGATAAAAAGCAATAAAACCAAAATCTCATGCTAGCATGCTTTCTAGAGAAGGCCTATCTTTCATGAATGATCAGAAGGAGATATGACAGCCAATATATACTCCTTGTGCTTGTAACATTAAAATGGCAATAAGTGTCATGGCCTAAATTCAGTCTGACTCTAGAAAACATCCTTCCTTCCCCCAATTCCCTGCAGTCCTCTGAGCTGCTTGAAAACCAACTGTGTGAGATTTCCCAGCCCTCTGTAGCTATCTATTTGGGTGATATGGTGGGAAAGGGGATTTGCCTAGATCTCTTGGATCCTGCTCAGCATTGGATCCTGTCCCCCGTTTTCAGCCTCAGAAGTAGATGTGAATTTATCTCTTCTTTTCAGAACAACCAAAGAAAATGGAAGAATAACTCTTCATTATAGAAACAGAAAGAATGTAATTCATGCTTTAAAGAGAAAAATACTATCTGATTGACATTATTGCCATCTAGGACCTCCGTAATTGGTCCCAGGATAGTTTTATTTAGTACCCTCTTCTTGGTACCCACTGACTGTATAGCTCAGTGGCTTAGTTATCTGGCTGTGGAGCCAGAAGTTGGGAGTTCTATTCCCCATTGTTGAAAAAAGCCAGCCCTGTGTAGCCTTGGGCAAGCTGCTCAGTCCCAGAATGCCCTCAGAAGAAGGGAATGAATGATAAACCACTTCTGAGTACTCTCCACCTGGAAAACCATGGGAAGGGTTGCCATAAGGCAAAATTGACTTGATTGCACACAGTTAATTCATTCTTTCTACCCAGATAGACTGAAGAAAGAGTTGCAGGGCATGTTTATTGGCTAAATTATATTAAATAGCTTCCTTTTATTTATTTATTTTAATATAAGACAGAGTGGAAGAATAGGAGCTGATGAGGAAATTGATGACTTCAAAGGGAAGTCCGTTGATGAAGTGGAAGAAATTCTGGCAGAAAAAGAGGCGAAAACTCAGGCAATTCTTCTGGAAATGGTATGTATATTTCTCAGAGAGCTACTGTGCATGTGCTTTGCTTTATGTGCGACATTAAATCTGATAAATAATAATAATAAATAGATGCAGGCTGAAATTCACCATGTGGTCTTGACAAAGCTCTTGTCCCTTGGCAACAAATGACTTCTGTCATGGTAAGTAAACATAAATGAGAGAGACTGTGTGTGCTAAAAGGTCTCTTTGTGTATTAAGTTCAGCTTCTTGGGGACGTCTGTTAAGGAGGTCTAGGCCTTAGCAACTTGTAAGACAAGTTGCTTCTCTCTAACTTGACAATAGAAACTCCTGTTTTACATCTAGTGCTGCTAAGTCCCAGAGACTATGTCCCTGAATGCATATTCTGTAAGACTGAATAAGAATTGGGCCAGGATTTCAAACCACGTGTCAACCCTCTTTGTTATCTCACATGCATCCACATATACAAAAACACTAAATATATTTTAGTATATCACTCACAGAAGATTATCATACAAAATATAAAGTATTTGAGGCAAATGTAAAGAGTTACACACTGTCAGTATTAAAATCCTTGTGGGAGTGGAAAGTGGAACAGGGTGTGAAGATAGTGTGCATTGATCTAAATAAATGTACTGTAACATTAGCAAAATCAAAATCACTGCTGGTGCAGCTGGCATTGTTGTACAAGTAGTTGTGAGCCACTTGCAAAACCCTGTTACAAGCAGTTGCACATTTTATTGTACAGCTAATTGTGCAGCTGCTTGTGCAGACCTGTATTAGATACTGCCATTGCACTAACACAGGAATTTACAAGATACAGCCCACTGATTGCATGCAGCCCCAGGGGCAGGGGTGGGAGTGGGATTTTTGCAGGATTTCGCCCCTCAGAAAATCCTCTTGGGCCCTCTAGAACAGTGGTCCCCAACCTTTTCTGAACCGTGGACTGGTTGGGGGGGGTCTGTGCTCATGGTGGCACGGTGTGCTCACGCATGCATGGATGGGTGGGGCATGCTCGCGAGTGGTGGGGCGTGTTCGTGGGTTGGCAGGGCACCCGTGCATATGGGTGGGGGGAGTGCGTACATGGGGGCAGGAGATCTGTCTCTGCAGCCGGGTCCTGCCATTGGCACAGACTGGCACCAGGCCATGGAACATGGGTTGGGGACCACTGCTTTAGCATGTGTGTGGGCAATTTTGGTGTATTTTAAAGGTAGCAAAGCTCCATTGTAGCAGCCTTTAACACCATCAACTAATAATATTATCATTATTAAATTGGTTTATTTGGGCACACCTCCCTTTTAGCTCCTCACCCTTGAGCCATGGCATTTCATGCAAATAATGGGGAAATGCTATGCAACATTGCAGATCACCACTCGATACAGCAGTTATTGAGTGAAATATGTGAATCAGCTCTTAATCCATTAATAAGTCTGCTGGTGCCATCCAGGTATTTTGCTCAGCAAATCTAATTACTGTGTCACTAACCATTAATTATGCTGGTTGGAAGTCATGGCAGTTATAGTTTAAAATGTGCGGAAAACATATACGTATTTGCCTATCATGTATTAACTTAGTTGGAGCAAAATACAAAATAAGAGGAGACTGATCTTGGAGTGTGCCTGGGCTGCAAATTCAGTACATTTGCTCACAATTAACTTTAAGATGACAGTGTTCCAGTATCTTATCATTTGGAATCTAAAAGCAGTGAATGCTTAAAGGGGCATATAACAGAGGGGTTCCCCCTAATTCTTCTCTCTCTTAGGTTGAAGAATAATTATAGATTGCTTCTCTTGGGCACTCTTCCCAATGTGATATAAACCACATGCACATTAAAAAGTGATATGAAACATAAATGTGATTTGCTAGAGAGTGCATATAAATGAGACATGAAATATTCTCTTGTGACAGGTTTTATTTTTTTATTTTTTGTACTTCAGGTTGGAGACTTGCCTGATGCAGATATTAAACCACCTGAAAATGTGCTTTTTGTCTGTAAACTTAATCCTGTAACAACTGATGAGGATCTTGAAATTATATTTTCCCGATTTGGGCCAATAAAAAGGTAATTGCAGGAAATCTTCACAAGTAACAACAAATCAGATTTCTTTGGAATCTTTCCTTCCCAGGATTGATGTGCTTACATTTATTATAGTGATAAGTCATATGCTTCAACATCTGGCTCAATTTGAGCTTAGGAAGAGTGAACAGAAAAGGCTGATGCTGGTAAGTGGGAGAGGCATATTTTGCTGTTGAGAGATAAAAGTACTTGTTTATTGTCCTGACTTTTGAACATCTATCTCAATAACAGTACGGGGAAGATTTATATTCATAAGTTGCGGCACTTTTTCTCTTCAGAGTCCTATTTGTTGGACACTTCTGCCTTTTATCTGCCTCATTAGCTTCTTATTAAATTGTCCCCCCCCAAAAAAAAAATTTGAGAAAATGCCTTCTTATAGTACGAAGAGTGCAAAATTCACCTTTTCCTCTTGAACAAAGTGAACAGTTCGATTCTCAGTATTTGAATACAGTACCTTGTGAGAACCCTCTTCAGACAGATAATTCTCTTGTTACTGGAGCTGTTCATGGAGTTCTGTTTTAATTTATTGGAAGTAACAACCAAAAAGTATTAGTTTGCCATTGTTTTGCATCCCAAATTACTGCTCTCATGAAACAGAAAATACAGTGAGGCATTTTGTTCCCGGTCTGAACTTGGGAGTGGTTTTAAAGTTTAGTATCTTTTCCATTGTGTTCTTCATGATCATCTCCCAACCTAGAAGTCATTCATGTTTCTAAGAAAGTGGCCTGAGAGTACTGATTGCTCATAGCTAACAATTCTTTCGGAAGATCCTTAATATGGCAATGTCTGTTGGATCTTGTTATTGACATTGTGCTTCTGTATTGCATCTTTGGAAACAATAGTGGAATACCATTGGAATATGAAAGAGCTCCATATTCCAGTGGTAGAGTTTCTAGTTTTAGAGCTCAGTACAGCTACTGATGCAAATGTGATTTGTCTGTATCAGGCTGTTTTCTTAGTGTTTTGTTAAAAAGGTTTATCAGCCAGCCAGTTTACCTCTTAATAATGGCCATCAAACAGTTGCTATTGCATTAAATATTGAGAACAAATTGTTGTGTTAATTTTTCAGTTGTGAAGTAATTCGAGATTGGAAGACAGGTGAATCCCTCTGTTATGCTTTCATTGAGTTTGAGAAGGTACGTGACCTTGCAAATGCATTCTGGTTTTGTTTATACACTAAGGATATAGGAAGGTAAAGTTGGAAGTGTGCATTCTCTTCTTCTCTGTTCAGTGTATTTCTCCTGCCACCTTACCCAGGAGAACCCAGGCAGCTCATGTTACTCAGAATGTCACTACATATTCCCAGCCCAGTCACCCCTATCCTTCATCTTCTCAGTGTTTTCCCATTGAAACCAATTTTGTGTGCTAGATAGAATGTAGCACTTACTTGTGAAGAGTCAGATTCCAACATCTGCTCCTTGCTGAAATCATTTCTGTAGCTTCTGGAAAATGATCATACTGGAGCTTAGAGATGGACACAAACCTCAGTTCAGAGATTCGTGCTGGTTTGTGCACACAGCACCTTCCCCCATCTCCCCAGCTGGATCCCCCGCTCACCAGCCGGCGCATACTCCTCTCCTCCTTGACTGTTTGACCAGTCCCCGGCAGGAGCACAGGGCTGCCTGTTCTGCCTCCTTGTCTGAGCGAGCGGTCAGCCAAGTGGGGTGGAGGCAGGGAAGTCCATGTTCCTGCCAAAGACTGGTTGAACATTCAAAGAAGAGGATGAGGAGAGCGGCACTGGCTGGTGAGTGGGGGGACTCAGCCAGGAAGGCAATGCAAGGTAACATAAGGGAATGTGCAGCCCCACGAATTGGCACAAACCTCCAAACCAGGGTTTATGCTCATCTCTACTGAAGATCAGTATGAAGAGGTAGCTTTAAATGTGTGAGGCTTCTTTGACAATGTAGACAGACTGGTCCATGCAGTGGTGCACTAGTACTTTTTTAAAAAAAGAACTCCAGTTTTCTGCTACATAAAAAGATGTCATCCCACCTTTTTAATAGTGAACTAGTATCTTGATATCCTATGTTATGCTGAAATAAAGCTCTGCTTCAATAGATGGCCTAATATCTTTGTGCCATCAAAGTAGTTGATGTTCTTCTTTTTAACCACATGCTAAATAATACTGGAAAGATTATCACTTTATGGACACTTGCAGCACTTGCTTTCCCTATTAAAATGGTGGCCTCAGAGGATGGCTATGAAGAAGTATTTTCTAATTTGAATTGTATTTTTCTCCCTTGAAATTTGTACCAGGAGGAAGACTGCGAGAAAGCTTACTTTAAAATGGATAATGTCCTAATTGATGACAGGCGGATACATGTGGATTTTAGCCAGTCTGTTGCAAAGATTAAATGGAAAGGAAAAGGTAATTATTTCCCAAGTGCTTTTATTACAAGCTCCTTACATGGCAGGGCTTGAGAGTGTGCTGGTTTGGGCAAAGAGAGTTGAAAGACTGTTGTCTCAGGAACCTCTTCTCAACTCAGAGTAGCAGCTAAACATTAAGAAAAACCTCCCTACCATTGAGAGCTGTTTGTCAGCGAACCCTCCCCCACACCAAGGCACAAAAACCTGCAAGCTTTTGAGAGTAATAATCACAAGGGTAAGGTGGGAGGGAGAGGCTTGATTCTTTACTCTTTATGGTCTGCCTCTGTCCTCTTGAGATGCAGGGAGGAGCCTGGATGCAGACCATTAAATGGGGTCGTCAGATTTCATGGCGGTGGAATAGCCTTAGAGTTGCTGAGAACAGAAAATTAGAAACTTCGGGGTTTCCATTTTAAGCAATATAAGCCTTCACTCAGAGGTTGTTTCCCCTTCTGCCTGACTGCTTGGCAGTCTTTGTATTTTCAGTGCTGGAGGTTAGTTGATCAGGTAAAGGAAGTCAGTATCTTGTAATGAAATCACTGGCTGGACAGCTCAGTGGTTTAGGTCTCTGTCTGCAGAGCCAGAGGTTGGGAGTTCTATTCCCCACTGTGCTTCCAAGGAGATGGACTTGTCCATAGCCATGGGTGGCCGTGGACAAGCTGAACAGTCCCAGGGCATCCCCAGCTGAAAGGAAGGGTAAACCACTTCTGAGTATTCTTCTACCTAGAAAATCCTGAAAAGGGTTGCCATAAGTCAGAACTGACTTGATAGCACATTATTGTTATTTGTAAGGAAATACCAACTTGGACCATAAGATGGCAGCACATTATTTGAAGCTCACAGCTTCTGTTTTTAAAGGCTACTTGGAGCTATTGTAGTTGAAGTGTCCTAATACTTGAAGATTGCTGCTGAAAATTTGGGAACTCCAGTTATTCTGGTGCTAAATTCATAATGTGAATGTAGGGGACTTTAAAGCCAAGCTCCTCTGCAGTTCTGCCACTTTTTGGAAGGGTCTGGTTGTATCCTTACTGAAAATGGATGATGCACTTTGCAGGAGCTGCTAAGTTAAGCATAGTGCATGTGACCCCCATCCTCATCATTTGCCATCCTGACTGGTACTTAGATTTGCTGGATGGCCACCCTTGGAAGAGGACGTGTGGGATGGCAAACCCAAGTTCATGGGCCATCTGCTTCCAAAATCTCAAACTGTCAGCCTTCCCCTCCAGCTCTTACTCAAAAGAATTAAGAGGAAAGGGGAGAACAGAGGGCAGCTGCAGCTTCTCTCAGGGTTGTACGGATTATCTCTGGATTGTCAAGTGTTACCCTGGCACTGCAGTGCTACCTTGAAAGGACTCCCTTCTTTTTCCTGGCAGTTTGAAGCCAGCTGAAGACCATCTTGGGGTGTGTGTGTGTCCCAATGCTCCAGAGCAGGTATGGGGAGGCCTCTGGGGGTTTCTAGTGGAGAGAGAAGATTGTTCCCTCCTAATTCTGTTAGATTTTACAGTTCTGCCAGTAGACATTCGAAGTTGGATATTGCCTAATAGAGATATGGGCAGGGAAATTTTAGAAATGTTCAGGTTTGATTCTTTGCAAGTTTCTTTCAGCTGCCTTATTTATTTTTGGGTGTTTCAGATACCAGTCCTTTCATTAAATATGAAAAATACACGTTCTTTCATTGCATTTCAGCCTGTAGAGGCAAGGCAGGAAACAGAACCAGTTAAAAAACCCCGAATGACCCTTCAGAACTACTTCAGAAATGCAAGAGAAAGTAGGTAATCCTTATAAAATAAACCAAATAGCACAATTAAAAAACAACAACACAATCTAATAGGAAAAACCCATAGGGGGAGGAAGAGACAACATTTTAAAAAAAAAACACATGCTGCCCTTTCCCATAAACCAAGAAAAGCAAGGAAGCAAATAAATGCAATATTGAGTCAAATGAGGTAAAAATAAAACAAAATAACCTGTTATTTTCATATCTAATGAAAGGATGGGTACCCCTCAAACCAACTAGAATAGGGAGATTTCTCTCCTTGGTACCATGGATATCTTCTCTTGAATCCACAACCAGCACACAGTGGCAGGCAGCAAAAGTAATCCAGGAAAGGAAAGAGGGAAAAATCTCCAAGAAACCAGTGAGAAGGAAGTTCAGAAAATAATCCCAGGGAAACGTGTTGGCATCATAGAAACGCTGCCTGGCAGCAGCAGCAGTAGCTGCTACAAACATCCTAGGAAATGATGTGTGTGTATGAGGAGAATCCCCCTAAAAACCCAGAAAAAAAATACAGGTGAGCAATAGCAAGATGGAGGCTACATTAGAACACACCATGGATCACACACACAAGGAAGGACAGAAACAAATAACATTCTTCACTGTGTTCGAAGCAATCGGGGTCCTTCTGCAAGTTAAAATCCCTGCCCCAGATCTCCTGATTGTTTGCTCACAGCAGCCCTCTCTGCTTTATTTGATTCATCGTTTCCCAAGCAATTTGATGGACAAGATTTGAAGGAGAAGGCAAATGAAATAGGGGGACATGAAAAAGAATCCAAAGCTTTTCAGATCCTTTCTGTTGCTTGTTGTTTTACTGGTTAGGGTGAGGTTCTCTCACCCTGGGAACCTTGACACCTTGTGTGATTTGAATATATGTGTTTGAATGAAATTTTATTCTAAGGATTGACAAAGATTTTTGCTGTTGTAACTGAATGGTAATTTGCCTTTATTGTTTTCATGTTTGCATTCAGGTTCAAAGTTGTAGCTTATTTCTTTTTTCTGTAAACAGGTGGGAAGTACACAAAGGATGATTTCAAAGAATATGAGAAGAATCAGGACAGAACCTCTAAACTGAGTCTGAAGGAGAAGGCAAAGCCTAAACAAGAGTATCCTTACCAATTAAATGATCATATATCACACTAGGAAAAAAAGCTGTTTTATATTTAAATAAGAAATATTTTAATTATACTAAAATGCCTACAATCTAAGTATGTGCAATTTATCGGGTATGTATCTATACACATTGATCTATTTAACTAAGGTTTAAGTTACACTTAGAAAATACATAAGCCCTTTTGATGGATTAAGTTTTAAAATGCAGAAAGCTAAATCCATTTTATGTCCCACTCACAACATCAGGGGCTTATTTACTTGTTCATCTTCTAACAGGATGTGTGCCACCCACAGCCAGCAGTGCTCCTCTATGTTTCTATAGGGCAGGAATGACAATCTCTATGCAAAGGAATAAACTGACACAAATCTGACATGAGAATTGGCAGTATATGAAGGTCGGTGCCAGGACACTGTCACTGATCTCAGAGTGGCTGTTGTAGAAAAGTGGAATTACAAAGGGAGCTTTGAGAGAGAGCAAGCTGAAGTGGGTTGTATCCATGAATTCAGTGTACACTCAGTTCTAGAGGCTTAAATAGAACCTGAGGCTTTTAGCATGTGTGTGTGTGTGTGTGTGTGTGTGTGAGAGAGAGAGAGAGAGAGAGAGAGAGAAGAGTAAACTACTTCTGAGTACTCTCTACCTAGAAAAGTCTGAAAAGGGTCACCATCATTCTGAATTGACTTGATAGCACACAATTATTCCTTTTATGAACAAGCCAGTTTCCTTTATTGTCTCCAGAAAATTCAGAAAAAGGCCTCATAGCCACGGGAACAATACAAATGCAGGAGCAGGTGAGACCTTTAATCGGCCATTAAGAATGTAAAACAAACAAACAAAAAAAAAACACAGTGAACTTTCTATGATAAACCATCTTCTTCCAGGCTGTGCATCAAGTTCTCATGGCTAGTTCTAAACTTATGTGCTGTTAATAATGTCCCAAATTCACATGGCTGATGGTGTACAGGCCAAGTTAGCTTCTTATTTAGATGGAAACAGCTGCAGCCTGTATGTTGATTTCTAGCTCCTCCTCAGCTAGCAGTTTGGAATTTATGGCCCATCTCTTAAAAGAGGGGCAGTCACAGGCAATCTGCCCCCCCCCTTTATCCCGTTCTGCCTTTTTGAAACTGAAGAGTTTCACTTTATTTGTGGGAGGGAAGACTGCTCAGTGGCATGGCCTGCCTCTTAACAGCGTTGGGATTAGGGATTTAGTTAAACCACCAGCCAAATAAATAATTTTACCTGGCAGATGCTTTCTTTAGCATGCAGTACTGTTTGTTTGGTGTTTAGCACCCATGGTGTTCAAGAACTCATGTTGGTCTTCTGATGCCCCCCCCCCAAATCAGCCATCCAATGGTCTCTTAACGTTCAGGAGAAATCAGGAAAAGGCCACATGGTCACAGAAACAATACAAATGCAGGAGCAGATGAGACCTTTAATTGAGCATTTAAAGTCTCCATAGCCAAAAGTTGTTTTATTTGTATAAACGATGTCTGCCAGCATTTGAAATGCAACTGCCAAGCCATTGTGAGACAGCAGCCATTTACATGCATTAATTACTCTGCCTGTTGCCATGTGTTTGTGGAATAATGATTTTGAAAGGTCATTCCATCTCTTAATGATACTTTTTGAACTTTTAAAGTTCCTTTAGTATGTTAGCAGTGTCACTACCCTGTTTCCCTTAAAATAAGACCTAACCTGAAAATAAGCCCTAGTATGATTTTTCAGGACGCTGGTAATATAAGCCCTACTCCCAAAATAAGCCTCAGTTAAGTGAAACCCTGCCTTCCACCATTGTGCAGCAACCAGAAGAAGATGACATGACTGTAAAATAAAACATCCCCTGAAAATAATCCCTAATGTGTTTCTGGGAGCAAAAAATTAAAATAAGACCCTATCTTATTTTTGGGGAAACACGGCACTAGAGGTGGTGTGTACATTGGAATATTTGGACCATAACTCCCAGAATTCTAGGAGTTGTGGTCACAGATCCTCACACCTTGAGTCCCTATATCTACAACCGTATACTGTACACGGTGTATGTTAATCTGTGGGCTGACTCTGTCTGAAGACATGGAATGTAAGCCAACAAAGCTCACATAAATATGTTAGCCTTGAAGGTGCCACGGTGCTTCTGTTGGTGTTAAGAAGCTGATCAGTTGCTTTCTCCAGCTCTGCTTAGAATCAAAATAGTTGACACTGGGAGGGAAAAAACGGCTTCTCTGGGGCAAGGGATCCAGGTCACAAATCTTGGTGTCAGTATTCTACACGTGGACTGGATGTATCAAGTGCTGAATACCCCTGGTAGTGCTGCCTCTCTTTGAGACCTGCCCATACTTGCATGGATGTACTTCATGCACAGCCTGAACCCACTGCATAAGAAAACAATGGTAAAGCCTCTGATATGGCTCTCTGCCTCTGTCAGCATGCAGGCATATGTTTTAGCAGTTGCAATCTTCTGCTCATAATGGTTTTTGTTTTCTTAGAATATAGAAGTTGGGATTTGCTCCAAGTGTGCAGAAATGTATGGACTCGAAGATTAAAACATTTACTAGATTTGACCTGGCAGTGAGGAATGTGGAGATGCTCAGGAGCAGACCATTCTGCTTCCAGAATCTTAATTTATTCACATTTAGACTATAGGGTGATAAATTCCTTTGAATTTAGCCATAAGTTTTCTTCTCTGCCATTGTCTTCTGCCATTACTTAAGGAGCAGTTCCCCCACTTTCCTTAACTGATGCGCAGCTCAAAATATGACCTTGTATTGGAGGATGAAGAGGACAAAACCAGAACAATTCACAAGCACTCTGAGAAGAAGAAGAAGAAACATCACCATTCGGATGACGATGAAGATGAGAAGAAGATAAAAAAACATAAGGTAGTCGGTTCTTATCATTTCAGTGTCCTTCACATTTTAATAGTGCACTGTGTCAAAGCCAAATAGGAGGAATGCTTTTTCCAGCCTATTTACAGGTGTTTTATACCTGTTAGACATATTAGAAAACATTCTGATTATGCACTCAGATTTTATTCTCATCTTGGCTGCACTGGTTTCTGATTTTGCTACTTTCATATCCACTTCCTACATTTCAGTTACCATTAATTTCTTTCTCATTCAGTCTTCATGTAATTTTGCTGTTAGAGACATTTCAGTTTTGTAGAACCCTACCTAGCATTTTTATTGTCCTGAAGAAATGCCCTAGGTCTCCCCTTCTTCCCCTTCAGGAGCTCTGTACAGATGGTTTCCTTTGAAGGCTGCAGCCACACAGATGTCAGCCTTCCTTTCATAGGTCAAGTTGGAACATACGTGTCAAAGAAAAGTCATTCAAATATTCTGCCATTTAAAAAATAAATAAATTTGAAGAACCCAGGAAAGAGTTCTTTCCCTTTTTGTCTGCATTAGGAGAGGGAATGTCAGAGAAGGAGAGCTTCCATGTAGAGCAGGCCAGCTTTCTTCACATGGGCTCATACTTTTGAATTAACCGTTTTGTGAAAATAAGGCTATGTACTTACCATCGGTGTGCCATCTGGTGCTCATCATTTACAATAATTTGAGATTTTCTTCATAAGTTATATTTGTTGAAGCTACTAATAAAATCTTTGCAAATACTTCAGTCCTCTCATTTCTCTTCTTTTGGAAAATGGCATTTGCAATGCAAATATTGACATTGTCAGCAGAGCGCTTAAAAAGTGCATCCATACTGTTGTCTGGTCAGGATCTTAATTTGTGGCTCTCCCCCCCCCCATTTATACAGTGCAGATATTCATTTGTATTTGAACAGCTGATGAAAAATACTGTGTACAGTGGACCCTTGACTTACAGATGGCTTGACTTACAGACTTTTTGAGTTACAGACTTCTCTGGCCGCAAAATTTAGGTTTGACTTGCAGACTGAGATTTGACTTACAGACCAGAAAAAAACCAAAATGGAACAAAAACGGCCTGTTACGGGATTAATCGGTCTTCAATGCACTGTAGGTCAATGGAGACTTGACTTACAGACTTTTTGACTTGAGAACCGCCTTCCAATACGGATTAAGTTCTCAAGTCAAGACCCCACTGTATGCTGAACCAGCTCACACTTATACAATTTAAATGAGTTGCATACATCTCTTGACATACAGGAAAAGAGCTGCTTCTGAACTAAAAAACTGACACTTGATTTCCTTGCTGCTTGATTCCCCTCAACTCATGGGTTTCTATGATTGCCACCATTTATTTTTCTTACTTGTCTCCTTGTTTGCCTATGAAGAAAAATGTTTGCTATGTTTGCCTCATCTTCATTGTAGGGATCAATCCTTGGTCCTCAGCTATTATTTCAATAAATTATCTGGGTGACTCTTCTATCCTCTTTCTATCCAAATCTACAGCTCGAACTGTCTGTGTGATACTGAGATTGAGTGACACACACATACTCCACCCACTAGCTTTATTGTCTCATGTATGGTGAGTTTTGGCCTCGGTTCCTTCAGACAGGGAACTGTTATCTTATTGGCATTCTAAAGTCCTGTACAAGTTAGTGGAATTAAAGAAAGTTATTACTAGCAGGAAGAAAGTGGCTACAGTATTTTAGAAAATATCTTTCGTTAACAAAGAGTTACTCCTGGGGGTGGGTTGATTTAAATCAGATTGATAGTTGGCTGAAATTTTTTGAAGACCTTGAGCATGTTAGGACTTTTGAGAAAGTAGTAAAGAGTATATGGGGGCTATGGAATGGGCAGACAGATACACACAGTGTAAGAAACAGGTACAGTAAAATTAGATCCACTCATAACTACCCTCAGATCTGAAATCATATCACCATTAAATGAATTCCATCAAATCCCAGATCCAGTGTTCTGAAGTCCCACCACATCTGAAAAACAAAGATTCATGGCAAAGTTCTTTGTGTGTTGTCATGTTTTTTACAAGAAACCCCTTTCAAACTGCTAGGAACCCATCTTTCCCAAATGTGTTCTGTGACTTGATAAAAATTTTATTCACATTCAGTGTAGAAATCTTAAGAATCCATGTTTCTCTGGGATGGGAAGACATCACCTTGTGGTTTTTGTTATGTAGTCTATGTACACCGGTGTAAACTTTAGGGGGCAGGGGATGGATTATGTGAAAAGCACGCAAACAGGACTGTGCCGCCCTGAAGTTTTTTGAGAGAATAAAGATGCGTGCCAGGAGAACTTTTCTTTACATCATGTTAAAACCAGCAGTTGGGTAAAGAATGGAAATACTTATATTTGAGAAATGATCAGATTGTTCCTTAATTTAGACAGAAAAGCACCCTTAGCAGTATATCTTGCAGAGACACCAATCCATTTTCGAAATCATTTGTAACACATAAGGTTCTTCTGTCCATTTTGTTTAATAGGATTCAAAATCTTCTTGCATAGCTCTGCAAACAATGTAATTTTCGCTGGCAAATTGCAAAATATCACCATAAACATTATCAGTTGTATGCTGAGACCCACCACTTAATAGGCAAATAGCTGAAATCCTGTTGTTGTGTAATGTAGGTGGAAGGCAAAAATAGTAACATTCACTTCTTTCTAGCCAGCAGCGAACAGTAGCTGCGTGTGCTCCAGAAGATATTGGCTGACTCATTAATTGCTAACTAGAAGCAAATACTTGTTGCATATTTTGCCTTCCATCAGTAACAAAGCAACAGTGTTTGGCACTTTCTTAACCTAAGGCAATTTGCCTCCAACTATTAACACAATTGGTGTTAAACCAGCATAACAAGGAAAACTGATTTGGGTCACTCAGTGGTATTATTTGAAAGAAACCTTTGATTTACAGTGTTTTTTAAAAATTATGTTTATTGTTTAAAACATCTAGTTTTACCCAGCCATTGTTTCTCCACTCTTTGGCTCAGTGATGTGTCTGTGAAATCTGTCTGCTTCATAATGTGGTTAATGAGCATTGCTTTTTCTTTTGAAATAGATTAGGGTTTTCATTTTTATCATAGATGGGATTGTATGGAAGGAAAGGGAATATCTTTTACATCACTCCACAAAGAGTTTCTAAATGGCATATTACGGTAAATAAATAAACTTTGAAAGCTGTTATAGAAGTAAGCAAGACAAAATCATTACACAAAACTTACTGCTCTTAAAGAAGTAAACATGAACATAGAAATGGGGAGAGTAAAGAGTATTAATTCTTTATGAAGCATATGTCATGTGAAAATAGAGTATCACATCAAAATAACAATTCTTAGTTACAGCCATAAGCCCCAGACCAATAGCTTTTTGTACAAGACTTAAAAACCCAACCAGCCACTGTTAACTGGTGATTTTTTGAAAACATGATCTATTGGCAACTGCTAGTTACAACTTTTAAAAAGGTAAATAATCCACAAAAATCTCGAGGTAACTTTTAACAAATAATGAAACAAACACAGCTTGCAAAAAGATAAAGAGATGGAGCAGTCATGATAGGGAAAACCTGTGACTACAAGAAAGAGATGAGTTTATGGCTTGGAAATCAGCTGTTGTATACAGTAATTTACCTTTTATGTTCTCCTTTGTTACACTTGGCTGTGTTTGTAGTGGGAGGTCTAGGTATACAGAATTCAAAGCCAGATGAATATGAACTTGATTTACGTCAGCTATAAATTTAAGAATTTAAGATAATTAGCTGTCGTGCTTGTCTGAAAAAAGCCACCCCAGAAGGTGGGGGTCCTGTGGACAGTACCAATTGTGCTGTACAGGAAGGTAGAAAACTTTGTTTCAAATCAGGCAGAAGCCTTTGCAGAAATGGAACCTTCCTTGTTCAAGAGAATTTCCAAGATAATTTTGGAGGCCTTAGCAGGGACTTCCAGTCCTGAAACTGTGGCAAGTATTGGGAGGTTTTTTTGGCCACTTGCAATCCTTTCTTAAGGTCTAAATTTTCCACAGTCAAATGAAATTTGTCCGCAATTGTGTATTTTAAAGTAATGCTGGTATTGTCTATGGCTCTCATTGCTGTAAATTCTGGCTTCTGCTTGTGTTCTGTTTTTTTTTTTTAAAAAATGACAGTCTCATCAATAGTAAATTCAGTTTGAAAGACTTGAACAAGAACTACAGGTTACATTAGAGCAAAGAGAACACAAAATCTATTCTGGGTCCCTAGGCCGCAAGGCTGCATTCTTTGCATGCCTCTCGAAAACTGAAAGTCATCCACAGTTAAGAAGTATTATTTGCATATTAGCCTGCTTCTCTTTTCTTCTTTGTACACCCACAGAGCCGTCTTAGGGACTGCTGATTCTGTAATGTGGAAACCATCTCTTCCTTAGCTCTGGTGGGCACATACCAGCCAGAGTGAAAATTAAGGGAGTGGGGTTCCCCCCCCCCCTTGATAAAGGAGAGTTTGCAGAAGAGAAGCCCTTTGGATCCAAGCTTTCCCCAGCATGCTTCCTACCTCTGCTAGAGAGCAGCAATAGGTGAAGGTTGGTGTTGCAAGAAGGAGGCTTCTCAAGTTGCAGAAAACATGGTCTGCAACAGCTCAGTGGCTTTTCGGAGAGTGTTAAGATTGCTCACTAAAGCAGATGAATGGAATTCTAGTGCTACCTATTTTAAATACATACAGTATGTATAAAAAGCTATCTTGGCTAATATTTAAAGTGATGATAGAAGACAGCAAACCGAAATTTTTTGATACTTAACAATGACAGAGCATTAAATTAAGCAGTTTAAAGTTTTGTTGTTTTTATATTTTGGAGGATGTAAATGTTCTTGAAGGATTCCAGTTTTGTTCAGGAGTTTGCAGCACTCGTAGAGAACTGAATGTTGTGTATGTACATTAAACTAACTACTTGCTTGTTCTTCAAGGAGACTTCTGTGAAACCTGCAAGGTTGCACACTTTTTCTCAATTTATTGATGTTGTCCATTCATTCTCCAGAGGCAATGGGGGGGGGAATTGTAATAGCTTGACAAATTAGAGCCATTCCTTCACCTTTCTAATCCTTACTTGCCCATTAAGCAGCCCTCTGTAACTATTTCATCCCATCCCTTGTAATAGGACCCTGACCGAAGGCACAAAGAAACTGGCGGCAGAGAGAGACGAAAAAGTGACAGGCGAGAGAGATGTCGGAGCCGTAGTCGCAGTCATTCTCAGGACAGAGACATCCGCTACAAAAAGGCCAAGGACAGACACCATGAGGAGTCCTGGGACAAGGGGCAGGAGGAGAAGAGGAAGGATAGAAGTCCAAAGAAGTCCAAAGATAAGAAGTCCAAATACAGATGAAAGTGAATAAAGAAATTCTTCCCCAGTTCTCTGCCAGGGAAAATTCCAGATGCACGAGACTCAAAAGATTCCTCCTTCTGATGATTTCTTGTAATACGAAAGCTACTACAGTTTTGATAGATTTCTGCAGTTGAGAAACATTTCGTTTTTCATTTGCAAAGTTTGTTGGGGCACAAGAAGGATTCTAGCCTCTGCAGAAGCGTGACAAGGAATTTGGGTTAGTATAACTGCTGCCCACTGTGCCCACCAAAATTGAATCTCACTTAATGTTGGTCTTCCACTTAGAAAGTACGGAGTTGTCCTGTCCAAAGGGAAGAGTGTGATGCATTTCCTGTTCTGTTATTGTTTCTCTGTAGGGAACTGCGCAGAACTCAAGAGCGTTCCATTACACAAAATGAAAACAGACTGATTTATTTGACCACAAGAACTTGCTACTAGCTGCAGCTTATCATTCTGTGTATGTGTATTAGATAGTGTTATGTACATTCATCACAGGACATCACACACAGATGGTGCATTTGATTACCAAAGTGATATCTGGAGTAGAGGATGTACAACGTTTCCATACTGCTCTGCTTTCTAGTTAAGGATAGTCCATTTTAATACACCATTTGTAAGTCAGAAGCATGCTGTTGTTTTTATTGTACTTCATGGTCCTTACTGGTGTTTTCTGTTTGAATGTATCTGGATTTATTGAAGAGGAAGCCTTCCCACTTCATAATTATTGCAGTGCAAATATCCATCCATTCCTAGATGGGTATGGAGGTTTCATAGGGAAAGATTTGTAACAGAAGCTTTAGTATATACAAGGAAGTTCAGTGCTAGAATGAATGCCAGTTGGGAAGGGACAGCAGTGACATTTTTATCTATCTATCTATCTACAGTGGTGCCTCGCTTAACAATTGCATTGCCTCGCGATGAATTCGCATAACGATGTGTTTTTTTAGAAAATAATATGCATCGCATAACGATGTTTCCTATGGGCGATTTTCGCTTAGCGAAGTTTGGGACCATGCTTCGCATAACAAATGCGATTTTAGGTCCCCTGCTTCACTTAACGATGTTTTTTTTTTCAATTAAAAAAGTGTCTTAGAAGGGTCAAAAACGGTTCTAAATGCTTGGATTCGTTAGAGGACCCCTTAAGTCATGTGCAATCCTGATTTGGCTTTGATCTGACTTTTCGTTAATTTTTTGTGATTTTTTTTTTTTGGCCCATAGGAACCAATGGACCTGTCAAAATCTGACAGCTCCATGCTTTCCTATGGGGGAGAAAACAATTTACAAAAAATTAACGAAAGTTCAGATCAAAGCCAAATCAGGTTTGCACACAACTTAGGGGGTCCTCTAACGAACCCAAGAATTTAGAACAGTTGCTGAGTCTTCATTAATTTTTTGTGAATTTTTTCTTCCCCCATAGGAAATAATGGAGCTGTCAGATTTTGACAGCTGTCAAAAGTTGGGGGGGAAA